TATATAATAAACCTCTTGTACAATATTTTCACCACTTGATTTGTTTATCTGCACAACCAAACAATTTGTACAAAATAGCACTGATTTTTTTTAATTTTACTTTAGTAAGTCAGTAAATTGTTTATTATAGCAGAGACATATAATTGTATTATATGTCTCTGATTATAGTGACATGTGTAAATCTCTATAAATATTCATATGTACAAAATATAATCAAACATACAAAATACACCCGGCCAAACGGACCAAAAAATTCACCTTTTACTTTCTATTCAATAGAAATGCTTCAATATCACGTGTTAATTGCCAATTTTACTTTAATGGTTATTTTTTGTAAATAGACCACGCTTACAACAGTAATTACTCATCTTTGAATCTTTAGTCTTCTTGCAGGTATATTGTATAGCAAAGAAGAATGTCGCAGCCTTTCTGACAAAAGAAAATATTCAACATGAAAAAGTTGGCATACCCAAAACAACAAGTTAATTCCACAAAAAAGACAAAACAAGACATTCAAATTCTTAGTTTTCTAATTCCATCCCGAAAACACAGTACACAAAATACAGAAACAAAATCTCTCTCCTCCCCAAGACCAGTAACTGACTGGAACAATGTGCCCGACAACATCGATATAACAATGCTTTAGATTGGATGATTATGAGTTCGACATATAGAGGTTAGTATGACCACCCTCTGGAAGATGTCTTTAGGTCATTTTAGTGGTTGGGTGAATGTCTCATCAAATATATAAGCCATATATCTATGGTATCGAGACGTCGTGGGTTCGAACCCCGGCCAGGTCAAAACAAAGACTTTAAAACATGCAGCATTAAGGAGTAAGAGCAAAGACTGGTCGGCTCGGAGTCAGAATAATGTGTCCGGGTAAGGTGACATGTCTTCCTGCGGACTGTTACCTTGTGAACTAGCACATTAAAAATCCGGCTTAGCGTGTCGGTCTAGTACAAAGCAGGGTAAATATTCATATTACATTAACATGTTCTCGTCCTGAATATGCATATTAATTTGCCGCTGGACGTTAAGAAGCCATCCATCATCATCATCATCTATGTTATCACCAACGTATCATATTGCATACCCTTTTTGAAAATTGCGGTGCATTTAACAATAGAAAACTTTTCAAAGGACTTTTTCAGAAGTAGTCTTGTTATAAACAATCGGATCTTTGCTGTCTGGTCGTCAAGTATGAATTTGACATGAAAACTTCTATTGTATTGCAAACGTCATATGTTGTCAATAATGTTTCCAGTTATTGAACTGTTAAGGTGTTCTTACAAGTATTTTGAAATTTCATTTCGGCGAAAACTGTTTTATACATATGTACAAGAGATAACCTCAATCATGATTTGTACAAATGTATCGAGTTTGCGGTCTTTATTCCATATGATTATACTATTAATTTTTTAATTTTAAAAGATATTATAATTATTAAATCAAAGCAATATGAGCGCAGTGGGCAGTTAATCGAAAACCAAGGCAAAATTAAAGATGAAAATTATGGAAAAAGACCGGTTTAATTATTTATCACAGATTCTTATATCTCAAGTATCAACATTTTCTGTACTGGACTGTTTTCCACTTTCCTGAACCCCTACACCATTTGTTTTCAGAGGTCGATTACCACATTTTAAATTACTTTAAAATATGTATCCTTTTTTTTAAAGATTCTATGTCTGAAAAGGTGTATGCATGTCTCCTTTAAATTAATTGAAACAAGCATTCTGAGAGTATTGCATGGCAATACACAGTCCCCTACCGGTTAAAATTTCATTATACTGGAACAAAATGCTATACTTGATCTATAACTTGTCATGGTGTACACTATATAACACATATCAAGTCAATATCTTCAAGCATGATGAAAAAAGGCGTGGAAACTGATTATTTGAGTGAATTTTCCAAGTCCAAGGACCATAACTCTGCACAAAATCATCAGACCAGAACAAAATTCGTATTTGATCTGTAACTTGTCATTATAAAACTACATACCAATTGTCAAATCAATATCTTCAAGCATGACCAACAAAAGGGTGGAAAACTGATTATTTGGGTTAATTTTCCAAGTCCAAGGACCATAACTCTGCACAAAATCATCAGATCAGAACAAAATTTGAACTTGATTTGTAACTTGTTATAACACCACTATATACCAATTATCAAATCAATATCTTCAAGCACGAAGAAAAAAAGTGCGGAAAACTGAATTTTTGAGTGAATTTTGTAAGTCCATGGCCATAACTCTGGACAAAATCATCAGAACGGAACAAAATTCGAACTTGATCTGTAACTTGTCATGATGAAACTATATACCAAATATCAAATCAATATCTTCAAGCACGAAGAAAAAGTGGGGAAAACTGAATATTTGAGTGAATTTACTAAGTCCATGGACCATAACTCTGGACAAAATCATCAGAACAGAACAAAATTCGAACTTGATGTTTAACTTGTCATGATGAAAATATATACCAAATATCAAATCAATATCTTCAAGCACAAAGAAAAAAAGTGTGGAAAACTGATTTGCCGGACTGACAGACTGAGTGCAAACCTAAAGTCCCCTTGGACTAAAAGCAAATGCATCTTTCAAGGGGATGTATGAGAAGATGGTTTACCGAGTTTAATGGGAAGGTTCAATCTTACAATACACTTTTTTCACAAAATATTATATAGAATGCTAATATGAATATGAACGTTGTGTTCATGATTATGAACCTTGCTTTGTCTCGCCTGCTTTACTATTTATAATTTATTTTATGTTGATAATCCTAATAAAATGCTCCGCTGGGCGCAGCTTGATACGACCGCAGAGGTCGAACCCTGAACAGTTGGGGCAAGTATAGACACAACATCCAAGCATGATACAGCACTGAATTTGGATTGTGATTAAATATTTGACACAGCATAGGTTTCTGACACAGAATAAATGTGGTCTAAGAACTTAAAATTTCTTAATTTACCTATTCAAACCATATCATTATTATTTGCTTTTATATATAAATCAGAAATAACCAATTTAAAATGGAAAATTTTAAAGAAAAAAAAAGGAAAAAAAGGAAAAAAAAAAATCCTCCCCAAATTTTTTTAACCCCCTTATGATTCATCACCCACAAACTCAATCCCAGCCTTCCCTTTGTGGTATGGTACCTTGCAGTACAATTTCAGAGAGATCCATACACTTGAACACAAGTTATTGTCCTGAAACTAGAAAAATGCTTGTTTTAATGCCCCAAATTCCTAAACGTTTAGGGCAATTACCCCCAAACTCAAACCCAGCTTTCCCTTTGTGATATGGAACCTTGTAGTACAATTTCAGAAAGATTCATACACTTGCACACAAATTATTGTCATGAAACTAGAAAAATGCTTGTTTTTTGCCCCTTTTTGGCCCCTAATTCCTAAAATTTTGAGGCAATTACCCCCAAAATCAATCCCAGCCTTCCCTTTGTGGTATGGTACCTTGAAATACAATTTCAGAGACATCCATACACTTGAACACAAGTTATTGTCTGGAAACTAGAAAAATGCTCATTTTTGGCCCCTTTTTCCTAAACGTTTTGGGCAATTTCCCCCAAACTCAATTCCAGCTTTCCCTTTGTGATATGGAACCTTGTGGTACAATGTCAGAGAGATCCATACATTAACACACAAGTTATGTCTGGAAGTTACAAAAATGCTTATTTTTGGCCCCTAATTCCTTAACTGTTGGTACCATAATCCCAAAAATCAATCCCAACCTTCCTTTTGTGGTATTGAACCTTATGGTAAAATTTCATAGAGATCCATTCACTTAAACTAAAGTTAGAGTGTGAAAACCAATGTGTCTTCAGACGATGACGACGCCAACTTCATACCAATATACGACCACAAAATTTTTTTGCGGGATGTATAAAAATGAAGTTTTACTACAAGTATCACATACACTTATCAAACATGATCAATGATCCATGAAAATGAGGTCATGGTCAGGTTAGCCAAGCCACAGACATGTATACCTCACAATCATTATATACACCAAATATAGTCGACATTGCTTATAGCATATAAGAAACAGACCAAACCATAAAAATGAGGTCAAAGTCAGATGAACCCTTCCAATAATTCCACACATCATATATAGTACACATTATTGCTTATAGTATCTGTTTAACAGACTTATTCAATAAAACTAAACATTGACCTGTGAACCATGAAAATGAGGTCAAAGACAGATGATACCCACCAGACAGACATGTACACCTTACAATCATTCCATACACCAAATAAAGTTGGCCTTTTGTTTATGGTATTTGAACATAGACCCCAAAACACAAAAACTTAACATTGGCCAATGAACCGTGAAAATGAGGTCAAGGTCAGACAAAACCTGGCAGATTGACATGTTCACCTTACAATCATTCCATACACCAAATATAAAACCTACTGCTTACAGTATCTGAGAAACAGACTTTCATGTAACATTAACCTTGATCACAGATCCATGAAATGAGGCCGAGGTCAAATGCACACTGTCTGACGGACATGTAGACATTGCAAGGAACAAATATAATCATCCTATTATTCATAAGTGAGAAATTTACACAACTAAAAAAAAAAAAAATTCAAGCAGTTGCTGAACCATAAAAACGAGATAAAGAACATACGAGATGGAAACTTCACACACAATGCATCTGTATGCAAGGAATGGAGCTTCCAGATTCATTACCCCCTGAAATATAAAGCTTGATACAAATAGTTTACACCACCACTGTGTTGCAACTTTCATCATAGGCGAGACAAAAATGGTGAACTCTTGACTTTTTAAAGAGCTGTTGAAATCTTTTGCAAGTCTGTCAGACCATGGTGACAGACTTATCCACCTATTCATTATGATGGAAGGACAGACATGGGTAATACTTTATGCCTTGGTCACATAGTGGCTGAGGTATACACATTCTTGGCCCATAAGGCACACCATAATAATGGAAAACACAAACACAGAATGGATGAAATTTAAATTTTAATCAGACCCATGTTTTTATGTGTTTTCAGTTATTCAGCAACAAATTTGATAATAAAGCTAGTCTGCACATCTGCTGGTGTTTGTTATACAATGTTCTTTGTGAGAATTTTGCATAAAAGGAAACAAACACTTGTCTACATGAAAATATTGTGATCAGAACAATTTGAATTTTCTAAAGTATGATTTTTTTATGTATATGAAGAACTGATGGTTTTACCAACTTTCTTTTGGTGCTGATAAACTCTTATTTCATTTATGCAATTGGTAGCCGAGATTCCTGTACAAATGTTCACATTTGAAATTTGAGCAATACAACCTTTTTTCCGAGGTAAAAATATTTTACTAATTCCTTTCAAGCTTATTTCAGATTTTTATAAGCCATATCAATCTGTATTTCATACCAAATTAAAAGTTTGTCAACAGAATATCAAATTGGTATGACCTAAATTTATATTGATTCCATTAGAAGTGGGGAAAAAATAATCTTTATAGAGTTGAATTTGCTTTTTTTAAAGAAGCAATTGTACAAAACAGAGTTATCTAAAAATTACTGCATATATCTGAATTGTACAAAACTTTCATCTTCATTCTTTTCAAATAAACATTTCACATCATCGTAAAATGTCTACAAGGATTTAACACAAGCTACAAACATGAATAGCTCACAATCACATTATAATACCCAAGATTTTTTATTGTTTATATGTAACTTTTTTCTCGCAGCTATGTTCAACCAGCAAAGAAATACATCATGTCAACATCAATCTGTATTTAATGTCTGGCTCAATCTGACAAAGCAATTTTGACTAGACAATAAGCACGAGGCATTTTCTTAAAACAATCAACTGCAATCAAATAAAATCTCAATTCCTTTTCACAAAAAATATTATCCTTATCAATCTAATGAACACTGCTCTGTAAGCACCAAATCTCAAATTTCAAATTCAATGTAAAACAACAACCATGTTGCATCACTGATCATGAATCTGTTGACCAATTATCTTGTAAAAGGGGCAAGCTTTTTAAAAAAGTTACAGCTGTTAAAACAAAAAAAAGTGAAAAAAGAACTTTTGTAAGTCCCCTTGTGCAACTTGTATTTCAGCAGCTGACGTTTTTAACAAAAAAGTTTTGTAATCCTCTAAATAGTATCAACCACTAGGAGAAAATTGGTTTACAGATGGATGGAGTTTGAAGCAACAGACAGTACATTGTCATTATATTGAAATTTTCACAAGAGCCTAACAATCCATCGTCACCACAATAGAAAATACTATAACACCTGAAATCTGCATGGCGGAAAATTTGTCATCAATACAGCCCCAAAAACCTCTCTTTTCTTTCTTTTTTTTGGGCCTTTTGTTTTTTAATTAGATCGAGTCCCATGAGCAGTACATTTATTTGTAATAAACTGCAGCAAGATAACTTTCAACAATTGTAGATAAAATTTAAGATTCACCATCCGTACGTATTGTGAATTCATTTATTTTCATGATACCAATTTTTTTGGATTGAGGAAAAATTGTATTTTCATGGATATTTGTTTTGTGGATTTGCCAGTCTGCATCATAGAAAAAATAAACACTTCCTTAAACATTTAAATTCCTGGTTATCCTATACAAAGAAAATTGGTATGCCACGAAAAATAATGAAATCCACAGTAGTTTTATATTCAAAGAGTCATGTTGCTTAAAAATAAATTAACAAGCACTTACAAATGGTTACCTGAAAAAAACATTTAAATTTGAAAGGAGTCCTTCAAAAATATATACACTGTACAAATAATGTTACAAGATGACAATAATATATATGAACAAGTACATTTATAACAAGTTATCTTTCATAACGATAAAAACTAGGTGAAGGATTTTGTTATTTTATATAACAAGTACATAAAATAGTCATAGTAAAATTATTAAAGAATACTAGTTACTTCTATGAACAAGGCTATGAATAGGACACTCTTTGAGTAATCCCTTCCAAAAATTATCTTGTAATTTTCACGATTTTGCAGTAATATACCATTTATCTTAACTCTGATAATTTGTAAAAGTTCTTTACTTTGAAGAACAATTCCCCCTCCCCACTTCAAAATGTATACACATACTCATACTGAAAAGATCAAAATTTAATATCTATCTATCTGCCTTTGTTCAGTAATGTTTAAACTATGGAACCTTTAAACCATTCAAAATCTTTCTTACATTTAAGTTAATGGATTTATTAATGGAATGACTTGTATGCGACATGAAGTGTGCAAACTATATGGAAACACCACTTCTTTCTACTTAAATGATTGGAAAAAAAGTTGTCATACATTTATACAGAATATTATGCATTCTATTAATATTAATCCATGTAATTATCTGGTTTTCAAATTCTGCATTGTTGGTTAATTGGCTGTGCACAGATATATATGTGTACAAGTCTTTTTATCATTTCTACGCGTGTACTATGAAGTCCCAACATTGAAGAAGGCCATTTGTAATCATGAAATATTGGAGAACTATATCCAATATGAAATGCTCCTCCTATTTCGACTACATACTAGTTGAAAAGAAAACAACCAAGTATGTTTTAATTTCAAAGGTTTAACCTATGTCCTACCAGGAAATTACTTGATACTTTTGACTTGCTTTTAATTCTCCTGTCAGGAAACCGAGGCTTTGGACAAGTTTTATTTTTCTAATAGGAAATTACAATACCTTGTTATTTAGTTGAAGGTAAGACAAATAAAAAGTGTCAGCAAAATATATTTTATTCCTTTTGGTTTCATTTGTCAAATTATTCAAAAGATCAATTTAAGTTTTCCTCACTTTACTTCAACGTCAAACTATCTTATTTTTATGTCATTCTTAATACAAAATAGCTTGTCCTAAAGAGATTCATAATTTTTTTAAATGCCTACAGTACAAAACAATCAATATGATAAACAGAACAAAAATGGCAATCCTTAATAATAAAACATTCTTTAAAATCTACCGTCCATAATGATACAAAATTATTTATGATCAATTCTAGTAAGTCCAGATACCATTAGACTAGACCCCAACCCCAATCTATAGTAACCATCATCATACAGTTCATTTAAATGTTTAGCCATTTACAATTGTTTACTTATAATTGAGTTATCATTTATGTTTATATTAATGTGAAAGGTAAATAAAACAATAATTGGAATCTAGGAATTACCTTTGTTTGGCCTTAAGAATGTCATGGCAAGAATATAAACCACATATAGTTTGTTGGAGTTGAACAAAATCTTCAAAGATAATTATTAAAAGTCAAAATTTTGTATGCAGATCTTCAATCCTTTTTTAGTAGTTTGTCAGAATTTTTGGTGAATTATAAAAAAGTTGCCCATTATGTTTCTATGGTTAACATTAATTTTGCAGTCTTAAATAAACAGTGAAAGGTATCTTTCATGACCACAATAGCCGTTCAATTATTGCTAACATTCACTGAAATACTTATAATTATTTGACCAAGATGACTGCTTAATTTTTAAAATGCAACAAAAATTGTAAACAGAGCACATGAAAAGTTGCTTTCATGGTCAATTGATTCACTCTTTCACAAATTTATCTTATACAGAATTCTAAAAATAATAGTAATAGACATACTGGGCAACCTTTTAATTACCAGGGCAAAAAATTCACTCCAAAATAAGCAACACAGTTAAAAAATCTGGTTTTTTTTCATAATTTTTTTTTTTTAGATTTATAGATCTCAAAACAGACAACACTATCGTAAGTTGCTGTATGAAAAGGATTGTAAAACAATTATACTAACACATCTATCCATATTATTTTAAGATAAACATCACAGTAATTAATATTAATCTTTCATGGTTTTTTTTGTGTTGTACATCTTGAATGTATTTTGTACTTATGTAAGCATTGAAACATACCACATCAAAACTAAATGCATTTATCTGATGTTCTATCACGTGTACAAAAATATTCCCTCCTTATATTTTATGACAAAACATTTGATTTACAGCCAGTTTAAAAAGCAAAATCATGAAGCTTTCAAACAAGCAAACAAAATAAAGCAAATTCATAAAAAAAACCAACAAACAAATGGTAGAGCAATGATCATGTATCCCTGGCCATTTAACATGTTTGGAACAGTTACCTTATCTCTTGTATATTGATGGAAATATGCTAAGAATACATCTGTTGGCCATGCATAGCAACTTTTACATGAGTAACTTAGTAGTTCTTTCTTTTGCCAAGGAGATATGGTTTTAATGTAAATTCAGAATTCAAAACTACCACTTTTTAAGAGCAGCAGTAAACCAATCCAGTTCTAAGGTGGTCTGGTTTTTATTAAAGTTCTTCAACTTGTAATCTATTACCTATATGATTATTACAGCATTTAACAAGTGGTAAAAATAAACCCGGGTATCAAAAATATTTCTCCATAAGCTAAAGGCAAATATTTAATTTGTACAGTACCAAATCTTGTGGTTTCAACAATTCTGAAATACCATACAAATTGAGAATGATTGGTTAATTAATTTGCCTTAATATTTCTGAGATGCATAAAATTCCTCCTAATGCATCAGTGTATTATGCATTTATTACTATACATGACCGGATCTGATGCATACTTTGTCGTGTACACAAAGATGAATATGGTTAATGTCAAAATTTTAAACAAAAATAATAAAAATTTGACAAAATGACTAAGATGAGGTGATAAAAAGTTGTTCTAATGTCTTTTTCATTGTTGTTTACACTCTTCTGGTTTACCTCCGGCAGTCTAAAAATAGAAATGAAATCAATGTGATCAATGGCTACACAAAAGTTGTAGTGAAAATAGAAATGCATTCAATGTAAACAATTGCTACACAAAAGTTGTATGACTTACAAGCAGTTGAGCACCTGAGATCACCTCCGGTTTTTATGTGGTTCTTGTTTCTTAGTCTTTAGCTTTCAATGTTGTGTTCTGTTGTTTGAGTTTTGGTTGTTTTTTTTGCCATGGTGTTGTCAGTTTGTTTAAAACTTACGCATTTTAACGTCCCTTTTGCAATACTATACAAATACCTCTTAATAATATGAAGTCAGACTTCAAACAACCTAAAATCATTTCCAGAAGCACTATTTTACAATAGTTCAATCCTTTATATTAAGAGAATTAGACTTTTAGGGTAATTCAATCATAAAAATATATGATAGTGGAGGTGTGTTACTCCAAGGACAAAATATGCAGTAACAAAAATCTATAAATTTCAGTAATGTGGAGAGAGTAAATGTACAAATAGAGATAATAAAGACTGTCTTTGCAAACCAGGTGGTCATAAACCATGTAAAACATTTGAGTGGAAGGAATAACTAGCTAACATAGTATTCTCTTGTTTAATATTCAGGGATAACATCTTTGAGATTATACAAACAAAATGTACATCAAGTACCTGCTCAGGCATCTGGTATCGAACAGTTACACAAGTCATGCATGAAGCTAGATGGCACAAAAAAAAACCCAAACTAAACCCTCTCCATTTCAAAATCCTTTTTCTTTGAAATAAAACATACACGTGTCAGTCAAAAAATATATGTAAAATCATGCAGATTTGAAATCATGCTAAAAACCAGGAACTTCCTTAAACAACGACTAATAAACAGATAACCAACGTTGTACATGTCCTTATTATATGCCTAAACACTAGAATTCACAATTATTTTTTAATCCAGACCTAAATAAACTGCATATCCAAAATATTCATTTAACTTATAGTGTTGAAATTGCTGGAAGGTCAAACTTCGATTCAGACCTTGAAGAGAAGTTTGACCAGACTTAAGGAAAGCATTGTGAAACCAGACGGTCTTATAATCGAAATAAAAAATCATGGAAATTTATTAACTACATTTATGGCCATAAGGTGTGGAGACAAAGAGCAGGCACTTAACAAAAAGACAGCAGTGTGTCATCCCTTGATAGATTCATACACCATTCCAGTGGCGGATCCAGAAATTTTCATAAGAGGGGGCCCACTGACTGCTTAAGTGGGGGCCCGCTCCAGTCTTGCTTCAGTGATTCCCTATATAATCAACCAAATTTTTTCCACAAAGGGGGGGCCCCTGAAAAACCCTCTAAATCCGCCTCTGCATTCATGTAATTTTTAATAAAAATAATCTACCTGACAAGTATGGTTATTCAAAAATCACATCATTATGTAACTTGAATATCTGAGTATAACATTTCATTAATAAATTGCATTGCATTTGCTGGATAGGATCTAAAGCATGTTCACTTCACTGATCTATGTTGTTTTAAACTATCAAAGGTAGTGATAAACCCTAGAAGATATAAATATCAAGCCCATAGCATAAGGGTATTGATTGCATTTAATGCAAAATTTACCCCCAAAAAGTCACAATACATGCAAAAACAACAGACAAAGCAACAGAGTATAAACACTGACTGACTGAAAAGGATAACACTCTCTTTATCAATACTTAGAAATTGTGAACATACAGAGGGATTCTTTCAGAGTGGATGAAATAAGAGCACAGCTAAGGCCATGGTAAAAAAGATTGCTTGTTTCCCCTAACCCTGCTGTCTATTTTACCCTTCAGGTCAATTCTTTTTTTTAAATAAATGAAAAAAAGAGTAAGACTGTCTTTTAAGAAAATTACCAATGACACATTGATTGTCTGATAATTTCTTTAAAAGAGTTTCATTTGTCAAGTTTAAAATAGCTTTTATAAATTAATTCATAGAATTACAGTCTACATGCTGTATTTAATAATCTTAAATAAAAAAAAATAATGACATTTGTGGAGGATTATATACTGTTTTTACCAAAATGCATTTAGCAGTATAGAAGGGATTTCAACATAGGAATGCTTATCCAATTACAAAAGTCCTAGTTTATAAGCTATGAGGCACAAAATATCATAACAATAAAAAGACATAGGAGCATAATCATTAAATGACATTAGGTACTGAAGATTCATTTAAAGATTTTGTGCAGACCATTCACTAGCTTAGTAGGAGATGTTGATCATAACTTCTGGAATTAAGAATGGAAACGGGGAATGTGTGCGAGACAACCACCACACCAAAGAGCAGAAAATAAGCCCAAAGCCACCAATGGGTCTTCAGTACAGCGAGAAAATCCCGCCTCTGGAGGTGGGCTTCAGCTGGTCCCTAAACAATAATATGTACTAGTTCAGTGAAATGAACACCACACTGAACTCCGAAACATATAAATGAACTAAAAGTAAAAAAAACACACAAGACTAACAAAGGCTAGAGGTTCCTGATTTGGTAGTATACTAACAAAGGCTAGAGGTTCCTGATTTGGTAGTATACTAAGACAACAAAAAAAATTCCCACAATTCTTCAGATTCTGACCAATATCTTTTTTCAAATAATAAGTTGTTGATAAAACCAATCAAATCATTTACGTGTTATTTTCATCTAGATACGACATCTGCAAAATATTAAATAATAGAAGTCTGAATTACTATTAAGAGGATTAACTGACGCACCGGCCTGGGACTTGTAGAATATTTAGCAGGCCATTCAAACTAGAGTGTCCATGGACCATGTATTGCTAATTTGACAGTCAAATATTGACACAGACCACCAGAATGTAATGCATGTAAAGACTGAATAGTCAAAAACAATTTTAAAATGATTGGAATGATTTTAAGCTAGTTTTTTTTCCCTCTCAGAAAAGAGGATATTCAAATGTATTACCACAGGTACTGAGCTTGAGGTTTCAGTTCTTGAAAGCTAGAATCATATGAGTAAATATCAAATCAATATCTTTATCGGAGCTCCCCATTTACAGTAATTGCAGGTTGGACAGTGTGTTGCCAATTTACAAACTTCTGCCCAGACCGATTCAAATATGCTCAATCAGAACAGTTAAAATCATTATAAAGCAAAATCAATAAAAGGGGTCATAAAGTGATTAAAAGCCCCAAATTTCGGTCCATGATTGCTGCATGAATTACTTCAGAAAAACTATCTATATAATTTATCTGATTTTCCATTCATAGTAATGACGTCTACCTTGAGTAGGTCAGAAAGAACATCAGTTAAAATTTTCAATCTAGATTTGTTTATTGATTTATAAGGAGATTCTTGAAAAGTTAAAGTCATGTTAGTGTTCCTAGGGACCTTAAAATAACATGTGGGCTAGCATTTCCAACTACCAATCTTTGGCAAAGAAATCTTGTCATCCTTTTGCCTGTTCACAATTTCTTGCATGAAATAAATACAAAACCAACAAAACAATTACCAATTATTTTTTTTCTTTTAAGCTGCATCCTAAAAGAAGATACTTAAATTAATAACACATTTATAAAGTAAAAAAGTTTCTAAGGAAAACTAACAGTGATCAAAACAGATTTTTTTAATATATATATATAAAGCTACCCCTTTCAGTCAGACATATAATAAAACATAACTTAAGCTTGGAGAGTCAACATGGTTGAAGATGAAGAATGATATTTTAATATATATTTTTCATAAAAACAAATGTTTAAGATCAGTTTTTGTAAAACCAATTTCAACAACAGGTAAAAAACTTTAATCCTTTCTATTTCCTCAAGTTTCTCATAGAACGACCAACATAAATCATCAAACATCATTTCTAGCCATAACTGTTAAGTTTTTGTATAGAGAAGCTGAATAAGGAGTAACATCTGAAACCCTTTAGATGACAACCAAACATTGATATAGATGATATATGTCAATAGAAAATGATGCCCAGCTTGCACTATCATGTGTCCTTGCTCTGAGCTGTGTGAAATTGATAAAAATTGTCAATAGGAAACCATGCCCAGCTGCACTATGTGTCCTTGTTCAGTGAGCTGAGAAATCAGTTCAAATGGTAATTAGGCCTCACAATGAACATGTGCACCAAGTTTCAAGTTGATGTGACCACAACATACTAATTTACACACTAACAATTTAAGGCCAAGAGTACGATGAAATCCAGGTAAAAACCATTATTTGGTATACAATATAAAATGTTCACATCGGAATGAACATATGTACTTTGTTTCAAGTTGATGTGATCACCTAACTAAACACAAGACTGACTATTGAACGCACAGATCAGATAAAATAATGCTCCCAACTATTGTCAGCGTGGCATACAAATTTAACTGAAAAGAAACCAGATCTTTGAAAGAACCTTTAGTAAGGTAAAATGTATATAAAAAGTTTACTTAGAAATATAATTTCTCACAAAATGAAAAGAAAATGAATAATGATGTCATCCAGGCTGTTTGATAAGCAGCAAACCAAACAAATAAAAGTGAAGTTACTACACAATAATGTATAATTCTCACCTGAGGATTAAAATCTGGGTCTGCATCCTCATCATATTCTCCCTCCTCTTCACCCTGTAAAAACATATCCAGTTTTATTTTGGCTTATCAAGGAAGTTATGTAAGGTGGATGTCATTTTTAAAATCCCAACCACAGACAGAAAAAAAAGGGATAAATACACAATTCTTGAAGAACTCATATATAAAGGGAAATATAAGCATCCACCAATTACTGATTACATCTGCCACCTGTAGCAATGTTGTGGTGCTCCTAATAATGAACCTGAAAGGGACTTTTAAAATATGTGTGTACTTTGTTTTATAGTTTCTTTTCTTTTGATTATTATCAAATACAAATCTAGTACATGTATGTCAAGAGTATTAATTTAGCTGAAACCTTAAAATAAAAGATGTAGTTAGGGGTTGTTATTACAATGTATTTGCTTTTTATGTTTTAATTCATTAGACATTTTAGCAATGTAAAATTTAAATGAAAAATAACTTGCAGGGTTCTCACTAAGTTCTGGATTCAAGAAAATATGTCTGGACTTGCATTTTCAAAACAAGTGACTCCAAATATGCATCAAGATTGAAAAATTTTGTAGCATCTGACCCCAGATATCATCATTTTATACTTGTTAAAAATTAATCTAAAATTAATTTCATTTACTTGCTCTATCTTGTTACGGAAATTATATTACTGGATCTTAAGCAATAAGCAATAACATTGCTATTAAATTTCTTCATACAATTTGACTCCCATGTCCAAAATGGCAAGTCCTTTGACCTGCCTACAATAATCATTAATTTGAACTATGAACTAATCAGAATTTCTTACCTCCTCCTCTTCTTCATCAAACTGAAATAATAAAAAAAAAATTCAGTATCTTGAATTGTTCATTATATTTCATAATTTCCCAAATACATGTATTATCAAATCATCAATTTTGTCAACCCTAGGAACTTATCCATTACAGTTTCAGCATTTTTTTCAAAGCTCCACATAATTATCACTACTCTCTACAATCTTGAACAACATTGGTTTGGTTGATAAAAAAATTAAAAAGTTTAACAAAAGTTACCAATATGTAGGTCAAGGTCTCCATTAATAAAATTCCTGTGATCTTACTATTGTATGTATGTTCAAGTCTGTTACTTGTAGCAATAAAAACTGCATCCTCAACATATGTATCATTCTCTAATATTGGATGAAAATTAAGAGTTCAGAATAAGAACAACTTAGAATGTTGACCAATAAAATTTCATTCTTTAGCAAAACATGAAGTAAAAAATTGATAAATAATAAGTACAAGACAATAGGAAGAGGTTGTTTTTGAATAGCTGGAAGAATGGACTAGACTGACAAGACATAGGTATCACACAGAACCAAAAAGAACTCCCATGTTACAACACATCATTGTCAAGCTGCTGGCAAATTATAGTCACTCTGCTAAGGTGTACTGGGTAAATGATGAGAATTTTTTTTTCAAGTATATTTTACATATTAAAATATTTAAAGTATAGACAAACTGAATGTAGTAGTCAGGCTGATCCAAAAATGCACACTCTTTACAACCCATCAGTGTCAAGCTACAGACTAAATATGAAGTGGTTCTGTTCAAAGGTTCTCAAGAAAATGTTGGACCAATGTATGGACTGGCAAGCCTCCATTTTAGAGCGGGGCTTTGGCCCAGCAAACAGCTGCACGCAAGACAACAATGGCACACTAGAAGCATTCAAATTGGAATCCCTCAAATATCACAAAGAAAGCCATGCACACCAAAAATCAGAAGAGGTCAACACCACATTAAGAAACCCACAGCATGCACCAGCTCAAAAAGCCTTAGCAAAACTAGATCAGCAAACAGAAAGTAAAATGTCCATCCTATTCCGAAACACTCATGCTCTACTGCAAAATAACACCAGTTTCAGAGATTACGCTTGGCTGTGTCATTTGGATGAAGCCAAAGGAATCAATATAGAAAATAAATATCACAATCAAAAAGCAGCCCATACATTTTTCAGTTACATGTATGTAGCTGAAAGTGAAAGGAAACTTTTGTTTGATGACATGGATTCCACCTCTTTTATTTCTTTGATTATGGAAGGATCTGCAGCAGGAGATTGTTTTTGAAAGGTAATTTAAAAATATATAACTGGTAACTTGATAACTGGGTCTAGGAGCAATCAATTTTACCTTATGAATACCTTGAAAGATATCTTCTTAGATTATTACTAAAAGCCAAATGTGTTTTTATGTCATAACCAGACCTCTTTATTTTTTTCATTGGTTGTTCTAATCTACAAATCATGGAGTTAGTTGTTGAGCAGTCCATTCTGCTATAATTAAATTACACATTTTTATTTATGATAAGAAAATATAGAAAATGACACTGTAGTTCTGCACCACTATACTTAAGTTAACTAGTTCATATATTGTTCAAAATCCTTCATTGGGTTTTAAAGTTGCCTTTGTCTGGAAGGATCCTTTTAAATTAACCTTTAAATCAGGCCAAACTAATTTTATAACCATAAGTACAGTAAAAATAGAAGACTTTATAGCAGGTTCATTGGCATCTATCACCACCAAAGCCAGATGCTGATGGAATATTAACAGCACTCTTGGAAACTCTATCTAGATTAAGTATGGAAAGTACTACTCAGGAGAAAAAAAATAGCAGATTTTAGATGTGATGGAGCATCCATCAAGATGGCTATAGGTTTTGCAACTATTGTTCATTGATTTTCACGTAGTCAATAAGTTTTGCCTCAATACTTTTATTCACAGAATATTAAAACAAACACCAGGGTATCTGAGAATAATGAAACTGGTAATGTCATGGCATTTATCCATCTTTTTATGGATGTCCTTCGTCTTCTACGAAACCTGTCATTTTGGTTACAGATAACCACAATTACATTGCCTGATATAAAAACAAGGAACTGTGGTATGATTGCCAATGAGACAACTATCCACCAAAGTTCAAATGAAGTGGATGTTCATTTTGACTGTTAAAGAGTTTCAGGTCTACTATATCATATCATTCTTTACTATTTAAAAGAAAGGTATGGGAAAAATATATCGTGTGAAAAAAAGGCAGACAAAAAATCAAAATATGGCAGATTAGTAAATAACTGTGTGCAAAGCGCTTCTCAGAACTTACCTTCATCAACCAGGTGCGCTGGAAGCCAAAAGTTTGGCATTTGAAATTGCAATTATTAAAGGAAATCCCAAATTAATTCAAGATAACAACACAGAAAATCCCAAGGATAAGCAAACACATAATTTGCATTACACTAGTCTAAAAGTGGAATTGCATGAAATAAGTTTTTTCTTAAAAGTTTCATTTACTATTTGGAGTGATGGTCCAGTACTGAAGAAATTTCAATAATTGATTGTAATACATTTAGAGAGGCACAGCTCTATGGAATTCTAAATGTGGACTTCCTTCTCCAGGACAAGAACATCACTGGTTACCAAACTTTTGGAAGCAATATCCTCTAGATATGCAGATTTTGACAGCAAAGTAGTGGTCTACATTAATAGGAAATTTAGAAAAATGTTTCTGATGAAATGTGCCACAGTATCCTAATCAACAAGATGACATTAAAGTTGTAATTGGTTTGATTTAACAGTTTAAATCAAGATTCAAGAGTAACAATTTTTTTTTCTTCAAATTTTAAAGTATAATGCTTTATATTTGTTATCTGGATTTTGCACAATTATATAAGGTTATACCCTGATAACTATGTTAAAGTAAGCTAATCATACATTATTTATTGATTGGGTTGACTTCAATGATGAGCAGTTTCTATTTCTTTTCCAGACTTTCGTGTTGAGAAAGTTAAAACCTCTGGTCAACATTTTGAATAAAGAGCTGTGCCATGAGCGCATGATATGCCCGTTGCTTTTTTTCAATGAAAGTTCCACAACTTCTCAATTTCAAATTAGAAATTTAGAAAAAACTAAAGGGAGCTTATTTTAATAGATATAAACCAGCCACCAAAGATTCATGAAAACTGCTCAAAGCATTTTTGAGTGATTGTCCGAAACTAGAAAATCCCATACCTCCGAAAAATAAAATCTGAAATTTATAAAAATCGAAAGGGAGCTTACATCAATAGATAAAAACAATTCACCAAAGTTTCATGAAAATTAGTTTAAGCATTTGTGAGTTATTGTCCCAACATGTTGACGACGGACGAAGAGAGGTATACCATAATACGTCCCGTAAAAAAAACTTGCTGGATGATGAAAATTATGTAAACGGGTTGCATATATCTTTACTATGGAACAACATAGAAGTGCTAACAGTCGAAAAGGGTTCTTACTTTTGTCGCCGTATGATATGATTATGATCAGTCCATTAATCTGCTGTAAATGTACATCAGATTCCACATGGAAGGGAATTTTGAGTTTTTCCATCGGAGTGCCTTGTGCGTTTCAATGGCACTATCCTTGGGTTAACACCCACATATTTTTTTATTTTTCAGTAAAAAATACTGAAATAATTGATACAAACTTACATCATCATCATTTTCTAAAGCCTCTCCAGTAAAATATAATACAGCCCTAGGCACTATTCTCTCTCTTATAAAATGTCCTATTTCAAAATCTGCTGCTAATAATGCTTCTAAATCTTCATCCTGCATATACAATAAAGAAAAGTAGATTTCCATGGATTGGATAACAATCAACTATCATAAATCACACATAGGTTAAAATGAACATACAAAATAGCACAAACACTTTTTATCTATCAATTTTTTCTTTGGTTACTTGATTCTTGATGTGTACGTAAAGAAATGCATAACATTTTTTGAGTGAAAATTACATTCAATCATTGTCAACAATGTACCTTTTCAGTGGTATAATTATTATGTCTAGTTATGATGACAGTCGTTAATGATAGTTTGTGAATTATTACTTTAGTCTCTCAACTTATTACATTCCACACCCTTCCTTAATTAGAATAATCCACACTAATTCTTTGTGTAATTTGTAGTGTAATCATACTATATGCAGTGTCGGAAATTATTCACCAAATTGTTCATGTTTAAATATCTTGTCTGTTTAACGAAATAATAACAATATGCACTTGATTACACCATACCAAATAAAAACTAGTTTTGTCAAAATGAAAGTAAGACTAGTTGTCTGCAACAGCTTAATGACATCCATCTATTTAATAAATTAAAAGTTGGAATTAATTCCTATGAAATGGTCCATTCATAAAAACAGTTGAACACTGTACCAAATATCAAATAAAAAATATCTAAAATAAGTAAGTTTTTATTTTTGTGACATTAGTCCAATTGCTATCATTGCAATAATATCATTACACATACCATTTCTGATTCATCTTCAGGAACTGAAAAAGATATAATAGAACTGTATAGTTTGGTACATGTAGATGCTATAATTGTTAACCTTACATTGACCTAGTCAAAATGCCTAGCTCAACTTCAAATGTGTCATTTCACAAAATAAAATACCCTAGAAGGACAGCTGACCTTAACTCTGCACATCTTTTTCTCTCTTAATCTCTTGAAAGTATATTCAACAGTAACATGGTTTAAAACTATCTATATTTACTAACTTTCATACTGGTAAAACACACGAAATACTTCCAAATACCAATTTTGTGTAGAGGTTTTGCTTGCTCATAAAAAGGTACCCAAACCCCTATGCATTCTTTTTAACAGAAGCATATTTATGATGAAGCATGGAAGTGCTTCCTTCAAAAAATGTGTGCATGTTCAATGCTTTTACAACCATATAAAATTACAAAAAACATTCAATGCCAATAATTACATTTTCATGCTACAACCATGAAATTACAAGTAAAATCAAAACTTTCATTTGTTTTTGTATGCAATGTTAACCATTGTCATGGAGAGCACCTTCAGTCATAGATGTTGCATTTTATACAGAAAAAGAATATAGATTTTAGAATACCGTTGCCAATCAAAATAATGATATTTTATGAATCTTCTATGTAATGTATTATGTAGTATCAATAATCCCAAGGCATTCGTTTTAAAAGTTCTAAGCCAAATACAGCAGCTTTGTACATTAAAATACATATGTATGTTAAGTTAAACACACTAAACCTTTGCTGAACAATTATACAAAGCATCAATAATAAATTTTATATATGTAAAGTAGAAACTTGTGATGTCACCGTGACCTTGAAGACAGGATAGTTGAAGCATATTCATATCTTTTTAGGAATTCTGAAGTTCAATGTGGAATATGGGGTATTTAAACTAAATGACCTTGAAGATATTAAAAAAAAAACACACTTTCTACTAACGAACATCAATAATATTATTTCAGTATCTGCTTTTCAGTCAGTAGTAAATTAAACTCTTACCTTGTGGTGGACTAAAGAAATTGAAAAATGAATCATTTTGTACGGTTTTAGTTATTGTCCTAGTTGTTCCTCGTCCTTTATGTTTTTGTTTCTTTTTTACTGTTTTTACTGTTACATTTTGTCCTTTACACCAATCTATTTCACATCTGAAAAAAGAAGATTTAAAAACAAATGTTTAGAAACACACATAGAAATGCAATTATCCGACAAAAGTATGACATCAAAAATTTCACATTAAAAGCTGATGTTAATTTATACATCTTTGCACATAAAAATTCATGGTTTCTCCGAGACTTTGGACTAGCATATTTGAAGTACAAATTAATGTACGTAAAGCTAATGAAAGTAAAAATAAATCTCAGCTCGACATCTGTGTTTCCCCCCCTCTATGTATATAAAAGACTATAAAATCATTTTATTATTATCAAAGCTTAAATTTGCTATTCTTGAATTCTTGATTTCAACCTAAAATAAAACCAATTTGACAAAATTTTTATTACTCCACTTTCCATTATAAAATAAAAAATACTATTTTACCTACCCTTTACACTTAATTATTTCTGGACCTTCAAATGAAAATGGATCTGCTTCATCTGGTTCTGATCTCATTGTGTATGTTTTTGTCAATACTGTGTTATTAAAAAATTTGTTTGATTCAAACTGGAATTCTAACGTAAAACCCTGCAATACATTACATACAATAAGTTAAATTTTATATTATACAAGTTAACTTTTTGAATGTGTTCGATGTAATTTTCTCTTATACTGTAGGTATAAACAGTACAAAAATTAAGTGGTTGGTTTGATGGTAAAAATGCATATTTTAGGTGAAAGGCCAAAATTGAAAATAAATGCATTTAGGAGTTTCCTTCCTACACTATTCTTATGCCTCAAAATGCATAAGTTTTTAGTGACTGTTTCGTAGTGAAGCCCATATAATCGAGAGAAAAAAAACAACCTTTCTACATACACGGTTTTCTTAAGGATGAAACCTTCAACATAAATTATATACTTTTTGTTTGGTCCAATGCTATAATGATTACCTGTACTACAAATTATTGAAAGTTTTAGTGTACACACTTCAGTTTTGTTTAATACCTCCTTAGGGCTGTTCCATTAAAATGTATGTGGGAGGGTATGAAGGGACTTTCAAAATATCCCTACAACCAAGAACCATTTTTTAGATAATTTTGCATAATGGTAATAGACGCATACTGAAAAAAGACCCATGACCCACATTCAATAATGAAATTTCCCTTCCTACCCTCCCACATACATTTTAATGGAATAGCCCTTAGAGATTATTAGTGTTTTCTATTCAATGGCTTTGGCTTACAAGGAGTTGCAGATTAGACCTTTCTCCCAGCTTAAAGAATGGTCTGAATTTATCCTCAATAATAAGGATGTGTTGAGCTTAAGTTACTAACTTGCATTATTTTCTCAAGCATATCTACCTATTTTTATATCTCTTATTGGCTACAAAAAACTCATAAATCAAATGGTTTTAATAATAAAATACATTATTTCACTTCTTGTAAAGTGGTACAGAAAAAGTGTGCAGATGAATGTCACTTGAACTGAAAGCAATCATATTATGTCAACTCTCTTTCACAAGCACTTAAGGTCTTAATTACTTGAAAACACTTACCATTTCTTCCCCATTTAAAAATTTAACTTTAACATCTTGTAGATGGTTGATTATAGGCTCATCATGATCCTAAAATTAAGAAATCTAATTTATTTTAGTTAAAATTATGTTTTGTGATGTCCATATTATACTGTCTGTCATAACAGAATATGAAGTTCAGATTATTAATACTTATTGATTTATGTGTAATTAAATGTAAGCTAGTTTGATCTCATTTTGACTGTTACAGCATATCTATTTGAGTTATTACAAATATTTATTGATTTAGTGTTGTTTGCTTAACATCCAGTGGCAAATATTTCATGTATCTTTAAGACGAATGTAAAAAAAAAAAGGAAGTAAAGATTGCATGTTTGTCAGGTTAAGTGAAAAAAAAAACAAACACTATTCTAAGGATACTTGTCTTTAAAAAGTGCAATAAGCTGTTAAAACAAAACATAGATGAACATTAGAGCCTTTACGTATCTTGCCATAAGAAAATGTTTTTGCCTCTGAAAAAAAATGGTTCTCTCTTTTTTTCGAAGGTAGGAGTAGAAGAATAAAAAGTGAATTTAGAGAGGCCTTACCTGAATCATTTCAGATAACATATCTACATTTTTGAACACTGTTAACCAGAAGCTAGGAATGCCTTTGACGTCAGCTCCTTCATCTAAAAAAATTATTAGAAGTTATAACATAGATATCAATTGTAATACATGTACTAGTATTAGTTCTAAACCATGCAGAAATTTTACATTTTTTTCTAAATAAAGTCTTATTTTCAAATATTCCATAGATTTTGGCACCATAATCTTGTAACCATGTCTGTATAAAATCACATTAGGTGTTTGTATTTAAGTCAGACTGTTAATCAGACAAACTACAATGCCACAAGGAATGAGCTGTCAAATTGACAGCAAACTGGGTTTTCTGCATTTTAAAAGGCACTTTCAGGGTTTTGACATGCCACATCCTATGCCTATGTAGCAATCTATCAAAAACCATTACTTCTGAACAGCAAAAAAGGAAAATCATCAATATCATGCTTGACCACCATTTTGTCATCAGTAACAGCATATCAAAATTATTTTGAGCATAGGCTGAACGGTTCATAAGTAATTGCACAGAAACAACATAAAGTGCCATTTTCCAATATGTTAAGGACCATAACTCTTGAACAGTAAAAGTGAAAATTGTCAAAATCAAACTTGACCTCCATTTTGTCATTAGTATCAACAAATAAAAATTTGAAAAAAAAAAGTTAAACAGTTCACAAGTTCTTGCAAGGAAAATTATGGCATCCACCCGCCTGCTGTTCTTCAGCAAACTTATGTTTTAACCCTGTTAAAAATACAAAACTACTTGGTTGAAAAACTCGAAAATTAAAATTTGAAAACTATATATAATATGAAAGAGAAGATGTGGTATGAGTGCCAATGAGACAACTCTCCATCCAGGTCACAATGTATTATAAAAAGCTGGCCGAGCGCAGCCTGATACGACCCCAGAGGTCAAACCCTAAACAGTTGGGGCAAGTTTGGACACAATATTCAAGCTTGATACTGTCTGAATTTGGTTTGTGATCAAATTTTTGACATAATATAGGTTTCTGACACAAAATAAATGTGGTCAAAGATCTTAAAAATTTGAAATGGGACATTTAATTTACCAAGTATGGTCTGATATCCAAAATCTAACAACATGGTTAGATTCAGCATATAAAAATCATAAAAAATTTAATTTTGGACCCTTCAAACCTTAATATGGACTAATTTGAAAACAGGGCCCAAAATAAAAAATCTAAATGCCCAATAAGATTCAGCATATCATAGAGCCGCAATGATTCAGTTTTTAATGAAATCAAACAAACTTTAATTTTGGACCCTTTGGACCTCAATGTAGACCAATTTAAAAACGGGGCCCAATATCCAAAATTGTAATACAAGGTTAGAATCCCCAAAAATTAAAGACTTAATTTAATCCCATTGAAATTGTAAAACAATTCAAACAGAAAAACCAACGTTCATGCATCATATAAATCCAACCCTAAAGCAAGCCAAAAATTAATGACGATAAGATCCTTTATGATGTTATTTGAACAGGCCTTTAAAAGACTAAACTAAAACTACACTTTTTGCATGAATTAAGCAACATAAAATATAAATAAGGCAACTAAAGGATCTCCTTTTAGCTTGCTTGATCAATAGAAATAAATAAGCTAATCAAAGCCTAACTATAATACCTGATTTTGGTTTGTCATTTGGCTTTTCCTCATCTAATAAAACACACCAAGTAACTCATTTTAATCTTTGTTAAAAATGTACAGAAAAAAAAAATCAACATTTTTTTCACTCTCTCAGACAGTACATATGTAAACTGATACAAATTTACAATTCGTACTGATTCTAATGGGAGTTAAGTTGGAAATTTAAGAATTACTATGTTCTAGGTTTGATCTTTTGTCTGAATTTATTCTTATTTATGTTAAAATAAAACAAAGTTCAAATTTTGCAGTTGTATAAAAAGCAAGAGCATCTTTATAATTTGAAGATTTTGAGCACATTTTTCTCCTTCATTGCATCAAGTTGTCTCCAAGGAGTTGCTGATTAACAAACTGGTATCTGCAGAAATGGTTTAGTCCAATATAATTTAACACAAGTTTCCAAGTTTTGGTATTGGAAACTGTAAAAATCATTAAGATTAAAATTTAAAATAGCATGTCCTGTATAAGAATGTGTGCAACTTTATTTAAGCTAGATCAAGCAGTTGCAGAATAACAAAGTGTGATGCGTATGATCACAGAAGTTAACCTTTGTTTAGCTACCATTTTGCTTTTAGTTGACAAGTTGACAATTTGAAGAGCAAGTGATTCCAAGAGAAATTGACCATTGATTGACATTAGCACAGAATCTTCCAGTATTTGTCATTAACAGTACTCACTATCTTCTTTTTTCTCCTTTTCTTCAGAATCAGCCTTCTCTGCATCTCCAATTTTCGCTTTGTTTTTCACTTCATCCTATAACAAAACATACAATTAATAACAACTTTCACATAATCAGGTTTTAATCATAGATTTTTTTTAATTGCTGAAACTACATTACAATATTTATTGATGTCATAAAGAAACATTTAACCTGAAGAATCTGTACAATAATTTACAAAATTGGGATTCCCAAATTTCACAACTGATTGAAAATTAAAGTAAACCTAGATAATTTGGCTATGTGTCTATCCAAGTAATGTTTTGGATTAAAGTTATTTTGATTAATAAATCATTTTCATTTAATGAAAATAACACTAGTTTACTTGAGGGTTTGTCCAAATCTTGTAACTTTCAATACTTTTGAAATCATTAAAACCAAAAATTGTTTTTTTTTAATTTTGTTTACCATAAGACATTGTATAAATGCAATTAACCAGATTTCTATTTAGTATGTGAACATGATTTTTAACAATGAATTCTCTTAAATTTTATTCCAAGTTTGACACAAATCTTGAAAGGGGAATATTTTCATAAATGTCAAAGATTGAACTATAGTGATATACATGTACAAGTATACTAATAGATACAAATAATCAGACAAGAAATTTACTTGTACATACATGCAGAAAAATCTATAGATAAAGAGACTACATATACAACAATGGTAAAGATATCTTTACCGAAAGTTGAGCCACCTTTTCATCTTCTTTCTCTTCATCACTTGGCCAATCACATTCTTCATCTGTTGGTTCTATTCCCCCAGTTACAACTTTAGATCTCTGAAATAACAAATGCCAGATTCCTTTAAAACTTCTGGATTTTCATTCTCAAATTTCACTTTCAGTTAGGGTTGTTGTTATGGGAGGATCAGAAGGCACTAAATTCAATTAGTTCTGGGTCATTGCATTTTCTTTTATGTGTGGTTTGGGTACGAAAGGTGCCTCCCATCCATTTAATTCTGGAACAGCTTTTAGATATATACACTTTTTAAAAGTGTGAAGAATCAGAGCTGTGCACACCTGTGCCTATGTATGCAACTTAGTTCTCTTTTAGTTTTTGCACAGGATCCTTTCTGATTTAATCAGTTTTAATATCAAATTTAACAAATTTATTTGATAATAATACAAAGAATGTTAACTTGCTTTCAAGTTTTTAGCATCAAAATCATACTATGCATACACCATTTTGGTAAATATCGTCTGTGAATAGAAACGTTAATCCTGTAAATGAAGACACAAGTATAAAGCTCAATTTACCTTCTCGAAAAGTGGTATATACTTGGTAGCATATTTGCATTCCAATTCATGAACTTCTTTGTAGAAATCACCTTCAATTTTGGAAGAGTCAAACTGTAGTTTTTTCAGTGCTTTTATTCTTCTCTTGACCGACTTTGGTAAACTGAAAGAAATTGAATATATATAAGAAATGAATATACAAAGCAGTAAGTATCTTGAACTTTGGTTTTGAGACTTAATTAACTCACAAGTTCCAATCATTATCCCATTAAGGACAACATATAGACATTTAAACAGATGCTGATAAAGGTTGGTACCCAAATCTAAGAAATTGTCCATAAAACTCCATAAGGATGTTTCCCAAATAAAATAATTAAACATGCTAATTTGACTTGTTGCCCAATCATCCTGCAACAATAATATGTGTCTGTTCACTGTACACTTTTTTAGCATTTGGTCAAAAGTGAACATTTTTGCTTCAAATTTCAATCGGTAAATTCAAAGGTTTAACAACACTAGCATGACTAGCATGTATATTTAAAGCATATCTGCATCTACCATTTGAAAATAACATTCCTTTTCAAAAACATCGGCACACAATGCACAATTTCCCTCTAATGTCTGTTCAATGGATATGTTATCACCACATAAATTTAACTACATTCCTCCCTGCTTTGCTACCATCTACCAACGTTTTGTTGATCTTATCAAGCAAGAGAATACTTAGATCTTCTTGTAAAATTCACAAACATTAAAAAATGTGCAAATTTTCATATGAAGTTTCCATTTGTGAGAAATATTATACCTCTGAATATATCCAGAAGGTGTACCAACTATGCCATCCATTCTGGACTGAAGTGCTGCAAGAACCTGTGGATTCTGCATTAGCTGACTGGTCAGTCCTAAAGCTGTTTGATTGGGTGGAGCATCATCTTCTGGAGAAAACAAAACATCATTTAACAATTCACATGCTGCATAAAAGTTATATACAATTAGAGTAGTTGGATATAAAAAAGAAGATGTGGTATGATTGCCAATGAGACAACTCTCCACAAGAGACCAAATGACACAGAAATTAACAACTATAGGTCACCTTTCGGCCTGAACATATTATGTATATTGAAGCCAATACAGTAGACTCCACCTAATCGGATATCGGCTAAACGAATATATCGGCTATTGTAATATTATTTCAAAACACCAAACCCTTCCCTATATGTTTAATGTTAATTTTATCGTGTAATCGAATATCGGATATAAGAATATATCGGCAAATCGGATAAGAATATTCAGGTCATTTTGTTCAAAACCATGCACAATCGGATGTTTTCAATGTTTTTCTGACAGGAAATGGACCGGAAGTTACGAATATTTACAATCTTGCAGACAAGAAGATTTTGTTTTTACTAAATAAAAGGAACTATTTCTTAATAAATTGTTGTCTTTTATCATTGTTTTCCTTTGTCATGTGAATTAGATGCCCTTTTACTTCAAATGGTTTGAATTTATTTACAAAAAATATGCAAGACTCAGTTCACAGTTGACGTTGCTGTTTGGAGAATTTTGATTAAACTCTAAATGTTCACAGAATCAGAAATATAATCTAAACAGAATGTACCTCCTTCTAAATAATTTATTGCAATATAAATATAAATCGCTTTTGACAAGAGAAATCTGACTTTTGTCAGATATATTTTTTTCACATGTGCAAAAGTAACCACATGTCATGGACGCCATGTTGGATGTTTACAAATTTGTGAGGAAGCCTCTAGAACTATGACCTAAATATAAATAGTCTTCAGAAAACGTAAACTTTATGCAATAATATTTTATCAATCATGATTATTTTCATAAATTTAAATTTGATTATTTAAAGTAATAAAATTATAACAAATACGATTTTAGTTTGGAGATTCTACACAGACATGCTTAGATCTATTTATAGCCAAATTAGTTTATCTGTGTGATAATGTAAATAATGGATATTAATTTGCTTACAAAACAAATAAAGACAAACTATGGATGGTAGATAATAATTCACATAAATATTTCAGGACATTCGATATATTTTTATAAATAAAGGATTTAAAAACTGCAAACAAATTTAATCATTACATAATCAGCTGATAATTTTTTACACAAACATCGTGGTGATGTAACTGATAAAAATCACTCCATCAATCCTCCAGCCCTTTCACATATTTAGCAATTGTCAGGGTTAGTAACATCTCAGGATTATATCTACTCATTATTGCAGAATATTCAATGAATATACATTTATCGTCTAATTGAATATATCGGGTAATCGGATATTTTTAGCTGACATTTTGGGTATCCGATTTGCCGAAGTCTACTGTATACATAATATGTTCAGATAAAAAAAAAATCCAAAGTGGTGTGAAGCAAACAATAATTAATCGAAAAACTTAAACGATGATACTATTAATTGTCATTGAATAGTGTGTATATCGATTTTTAAGGTATCTTCCTAAGAATGAAGATTTAAATAACGTGTTAACTAAAAGTTACAAGTTTTTTTATCAGTACTGCAAAGATGGATAGATGCCAAATTAAATGCATATTTAGGACGAGTGTACTGCAAAGAAAACGTTTTCTCACAAGCCTAGAATCCTTTAAATGTTCTTTCTTTTATTAATGAAAATCAGTATGATAAGATTGATTGATTGATTATTGGTTACTTAACTTCCAGTGGCAAATATTTCATGAATGTTGAGGACGAGAACAAATTAACAATAAATACAATAGGCAGGTCCTGTAATAGAGGCAGTCCAGGATGAAGGTCAGGGTAATTAAGACTGCCACTGGAAATTGAGGATATATTGGACAGGGACAGAAATTTTGCCTTGCAACAGGCCACCTAGAGATCCCTCAAAGAATTGTTAAAATGGTTCTTAACATGCAGAGAGCATGGCACTCTTTCGACACGAGGCATTGGATTTAACGTCCCCATTCTGACCGACATGTACTTGTACATCCTGCACAGCCAAACGGACACCCTACTTTGGCAAGGGTTTTACTGCCGGTCGGAAGAAGACCTGTAGTGACCATATATCTATTCCCGTCATCCCCCTCGGGGGTTGATATAATAAAACAACTTTGACTGCTCAAATGTTGAAAGTGAAAAAGCACCAGATAAGACTTATTTCTATCGAAAAACACTTTGCTTTTTTCAACTTTTACATCTTCCTGTATATACATATGACTGGATTGTGAATGTATGAACCAATAATTAATACTATCTCAATGTTTACAAAGTACAAGCTTTTACTTCATGATTCTATGACGTCAAACAATTTTTTCTTCAAAAATAAAGCAGTGAAACCTATATTTGGGGAAACAATAACCACGTTTTCCCACTGTGAATATTTATATTTTATTAGCATGTTTGGACCCTGTGATAGCTGAATAATCCATTGTGTAAAAGTTCATTTATTAATAGAAAATATTTGCCTGTTCTTACAAAGATATTTACTTGACCAATGAAAGTAGAAAGTGAAGACAAAAAGCATCAATTCATCTCTCTTATTTACCTTCCTCCTCAATTTCATCTACTTCCTCTACATCAGGGTCAGTCTCTTCAACAGTTGTTGGGTTGCTGCAACAGATTTTAAAATGATTTACAGTTTTAAAATTCATTGTCATATAGCATTTGAAAATTTGATTAAAGTGTGAAACTAGATGTGTTGAGACAAAGAAATGCCATGGCCTGATGTAAATATAACTTTGTTACATATTTTGTAAGTGAACTTACAAGTCAGAATTCTGTGAAAATAAGGTACTCTGAAAGAAAACATGAACTTGATCTGCAACCATTTTACACTTATAAACCATTAGGCATAAAGTTGACAAATTGCAGTCTAAAAGAAATCTTGTAACCATCTCATCATGGAAGTGTAAGATACCACTTTCAGTAAACCTTTTTGTCCTTTAGAGTAAATCATGCAAATATCAAATAAATTTATTTACAACTTTCTAAATAAGTGATTCTGAGACCATCCCGAGTTTTCAGTGGAGGTTGTGTTTCTCAGTGTTTAGTTTTCTATGTAGTGTTTTTGGAATTGGTTGTCTTTTGTTTTTTGCCATTGCATCATCAATTTCTCATCCACCTTTATTTTTTCTAGACTTGGGATGATTTAGTCATGTTTTTAAGAAGAATTTCCACAGATGATATACATTTTACATTAAAGTATTTTTGTAACAAACATGAGCTTTATAATACCCAGATTTAATTTTATCTGCATTCAAATTTATTTTTCCATATTCATTATCACCAAAATGAAAATATATGGGGAATGTGTCCATGGGACATAAATGATGGACACAGATAATGCCCAGCTTGCATATAACATTTTAAAAGGACATAACTCAATAACTGTAAAAGTGACGCTACCCAAATTGTACTTGATCTGAGTTTTGTGGTAATCAGCATTGTTTATAAGTTTCATAACATTTAGTTGAGGCAATCTTAAAGTTAGAGAACGGAAACAAAAGATTCAGCAATTTTTCCATTTGTAAAGGCACATAACTCTAGAACGGTAAAAGTGACGCCACCAATATTCAAACTTGATCTGTGTTTCGTGGTAATAAGCATTGTGTATAAGTTTCATAACATTTGGTTGAGGCAAACTAAAGTAAGAGAACGGAAACCAATTTTGGGACGTATGGACAAGGGTAAAACTTAATGCCCCCTCAGCTACGGCGGGGGCATAAAAAGCAGATTTTTTAAAATACTTTATCAACTTCAGAATCATGAAATGTTTATATAAATTTTTGCAAGTTCAAGATATTGATGGCTTTTACAGGATTTACCAGACATTGTATTCAACATTTAAGCGATAAAACAACTATACATACCTTTCTGGGTCAGCCATGACTGGTTATGCCCTATAATATAACAAGACAAATAATTTTCAAATTCAGTACTTGCATTTTGATTAACTGGACACATTATATTTTTTCATTTAAACTACATATCTGATATGAAGAGGATTCTCAAATGCAGGTTATTTTGGTCATATATAAGAGGCAGCTGTAGTTTTTAATGTTCTGAACTTATAAATCAATTAAAAGTAGTGTTTAAGCTAGAAATTTCACAGGGCACAGCACCAGCCCTATTTTTATTTCTGTGTTATCTGATTATTTGAGTGAATTTTCTAAGTTCAAGGACCATAATTCTGCACAAAATCATCAGACCGGAACAAAATTAGAACTTGATCTGTAACTTGTCATGATAAAACAATACACCAAATATCAAATCAATATCTTCAAGCATGAAGAAAAAAAGTGGAAAACTGATTTACCAGACTGACAGATGGACAGTCGGACGGAGTGCAAACCTAAAGTCCCCTTCGTCGTTAGGGGACTAATAAGTAATTAATTATATCAGAATGACCATTTAACAAACCACATAAGGTACATGTATCAATATTGTTTTCATCTCTTTAAATAGTGTATCGTATATCGCCATTTAACCAATTTTGTTTAACCATTTTAGCACCTTTTTCAAGTGTCATGACATTTTTTACAAGTTACATGGATATGCACTCCTGCAGGCCTCTACAATAACTTTTTTTTCAACTTGTCCAGTAGGACAAGTACATACCAAAACTTACTTGTCCGAATGAAATTGTAACTTGTCCAAAAAAATCTTAATAATAACCTTTTTTTCCATTTTAAGTTGATTCAAGGAACAAAATGAATTAAAAACAATAGAACAGAATTTGATTTATATCTTTTGAAATACTTTTCAAAAATTTGAGTGGAGAACAACTAAATCTAGTCGTGTCACAGGACTTAGGTTCTAGTTTTCAACAATGCCAAAGTCTCATCAGACTCTGCACATGAGGCACCGTCTGATAGGCCTGTCAATGTCCACTCATTGGATTTGTATCCTGGTTTTTTAAGTTGAAAAAAGTTTATTTAAATGCAATCAATAAAAAAAAAGAAGATGAGATATGATTGCCAATGAGACAACTATCTGCAAGAGACCAAATGACACAGAAATTAATAACTATAGGTCACCGTATTGCAAGTATTATGTTTTTTTCTTCTATATATGATCAAATATGATTTGGGAATTTTATGGTTAATAATTTCTTCATTTTTATTTAAAAAATATTTTTGTTAAAAAAATTACGGTATGAATGGTATTTATTATAAAGCAACAGAATAAGGTCGGAAAACGAGGTACTGATTTGTCTTGGTCCCGAAATATCTCCTGTCTCCTGGTTGCCAAACTGTCTATTAATCATGTCTATTAAATATGTCTCCTACAATGCCAAACTGTCTATAAACTTGGAGCGGAATCGTTTCCGAGCTGGTGACGAACTGTCGTGTAAAGTTACTTTATCTACAAAGCCCATCGCTGATTCTGATCAGTCAGACTGGTTTCCGAGAATAGTATGCCTTTTACCTGTTAAAAAGTACCTGACAAGAAACCAGTTTTAAATTATCGATTGCAAGTAAACATGTCAAATTAATACTTGTTTTCATCTTCTTTTCTTGTTTTTTGTTTATAATTACTTTGTTCATCAAAGTTGGATTAAATTTATTTTCTGTATAATAATTCAACTTGTCCCGTCGGACAAGCTTGATATAGCTTTTACTTGTCCGACCTTTTTTTCCTCTGGTACCGGACAATCGGACAAGCGTTATTGTCGAGCCCTGTCCTGGAAACCATATTTGGAAATAAAAAGTATTGTGGTGCAAGATATTTTTGTGGTTCAGACTATCACAGATTGCCAGCATTGATTTGATTTTAATAGATTTTTTACTTTTATGGGAAGGCGTCAAAGCAAAATTTCAAATAACTATCTGTGTATAAAATTGAAAATGGAAATGGGGAATGTGTCAAAGAGAAAACAACCCAACCAAAGAGCAGAAATCAGCTGATGGTCACCAATGGGTTTTCAACACAGCAAGAAAATCCTGGAGGCGGGCTTCAGCTGACCCCTAAACAAAAATGTGTACTAGTTCAATGAAAATGGACGTCACAATAAACTCCATAACATAAATGAACTAAAATTAAAAAACATATAAGATTAACAAAGGCCAGAGTCTCCTGACTTTGGACAGGCGCATAAATGCGGCAGGGTTAAACATGTTTTGTGAGATCACAACCCTCTCCCTATACATGTACCTCTAGCCAATGTAGAATAAACAAACACACAGCAATACGCACAGTAAACCTCAGTTTAAAAGAAGTCCGAGTCCCAAGTCAGAATAGGTAACAAACCAAAATAAGCAAAATGACAATGATATATAAATTAATAAAGGACTACTAGCAGTTACTGAAATGCCAGCTCCAGACCTCAATTAAACTGAAAGATTATGTCTTCATCATATGAAAATCAAGCACAATCCCTCCCGTTAGGGGTTTAGTATCATACATGTACCATCATAAAATATACGAGAACAACATACATGTAACCCGTATCATGCCAACAACTGGTTTTAGAATAAATGTGTTTATTTCAGATGCAAAGACCCGGAGTGAATCAATATTGATACCAAAATATGTGATCTTTAATGACCTGACAACAGTATCGTAACTATATCCCTTCTGAATAAGTCTGTTTAAAGGTTTGGTTAGCTTTTGAGGTGAATGCCGACATTTTTGTGCTTTGTATAGAAAGATATTACCACAAAAGATTGAATGTGAAATATCAGAACGTATAAGATTTTTGCACGTTGATTTATATTTACGAACGATGTACTTGTACGGATGATAAAATTTAGTAAATGTTTTGACTAGTTTGTGATATCGAAAACCCTGGTGTAATAATTTTTCAGTAATGTATTTTTGACCAGATATATACTGGTCTCATGGGTTTTCGTGCTAGTAAGAATGAATTGTGACGTCACAATTTCCGTTTGAAAAAGCATGTAAAGTACAAATTCATATGACCTACGAAAACATATGATCTGACCATAAGTTGTATACAATGATTGATAGGGAAAATTTCTTTTGAGGATTCTCCAAGTTCACGAGAAGTTTTTTTTTTTGCAAGTGTTAACCAATGAATCGTACGATATAATAAATCAATACCACTAGGAACACAATATACATGCATACTTATTTTATTACAAGTATCAAACAACCCAACACTAGGGGAGACATTACGCATCACACAAAAATTTTACGGGAAAAGAGCACGAGTGTTCTGTTTAAGTCTTCATTTTACGTCGAATAAGTATCGACCTTTGAACTATAATAATGTCTAAATTAACAATCATGGAATCGAAAGCTCGTTTATAAAGTACGATTTTTGATATCTTTGTTCTCTTATTAGAAAATTGTTCTTCTTCATACCTTTGTCGGTCTTGGAACACGAGGGAATATGGTGGAAAAGGAAACGTTTTGTTAACTTCGTTTTGATTGGATTACATTTTTGGTAAATTTATACAATAAACCAATCATTGTTGGTAAAACAGGAAAGGTTTGGGCGTTGGCGGGATTTTCGTCTGCAAGATACTTGCTGACTTTATTTATTGTACTACTTTAAAACGAACATTGATTTGATTTGGATGTTTTGAACTCTATTGAAAAACAATTATTCGTCAGCTTCATTTACCCTTATTTCTATCTTTTTCCATTTAAAATGTTTATGAACAAACAATGTTAATTATCTAAGGTAGATAACCTGACATTTCTTTAACACAGTTATCTATCTTTATGCCAACCTGTCGACATACCTTGAGGTGAACAATCAGACGAAAGCATGGGAAAGAAAAGACAGCAGCAGAGGAACACAGAAACCGACAAATCTGCTCAACACAAAGTTGACAAAAGTATATGATTTATATTGAAATACTAGAATAAAGAGAAGTTCTGAATATATATAATATATATTTTGAAGGATAATTATTCGATGATTCAGCTACTTAATTATGACGGCCCGCGAACAGAAATGGGGTCGTTTCGTCCCTATTCCATTTCGCCCTAAATCCACTTCGCCCTGATTTTACAAGTTTATTGGATTTGAACAATAATACGAGTTGTTAAGTTTATATTTGTAATATTCCAGGGATATATGCAAATGATGTGTAAAATGTTACTTTTGCAAATAATCAAACCAAATCTGCCTCTTAGTCTTTAAGTTTAAGGTTCAGGATAACGAAAGGACAAAAATGGCTGGGTTTTCACCTAAAAATTTACTCTTGAGTACAGACAAACCAGTGCAGTTGGAAAAGTGTTAAGGCCTAGCTTCCACTACTGGCACTAGGAACACAAAAGCTTAATGCATTTTGTGTTTCAGAAAGATAAAATCTTTTTTAGATTATGATTGGCAATTTTTTTTGGTGCCTGCAGAAGGTGAAAAAATAAACTAAGTTGGGTGTAATCTTGAGTAGAGATGTCTCTTGCAGGTAACAACTGCATTGTATTGTAATCAATAATTGATTGACATAGACAAGAGAAGAACAATAGATATCTACAAGACAATAGGTGATTTAAAGGGTGTAACCTAGTGGACCGTATCAAATGTAATTCAGGTGTTTGTTTATTTTTTATAATACCTCAATCAATTGCATGCAGCGAAGCAGGTATTGGTTCTTTTTTTAGAGTACATTTGTTGTAAGTGAAACAATTGAATTGTGTAAATGTGCCAGTTAACACAGTGGTTTTGCCAGCTCTCATCATTTCTGCCATTTATGAAACGATTTTCGAAATGAAGAAAGTGTTTCTGATCAATTTCGTCACTTAGATTTATAAAAGTAAAAAAATTAATTGTGCAAAATTTTACTTGTTGACAAGTTCAAGTTTATGACAAGGTTACGACCAAAGTTTAAAGCTAATCGAGTACAACAAGTGTCATTAGTTTCATGATGAAAACGTAATTGACAGAAAGACAAAACTGTAATGAACTTATTCAAACACATTGTTTTTCTTGAATAGACCACTTTCGAGTTCATCCTTCACCGGAAAAAACTCGTCAATTATGCGTGCCTTTATGACGTCATTTACCAGATAGAGGGGATCGCCTGTATCCCTGCACTATTAACGTTCATCAAGTGTCTTAGTGATCGTCATTGTGCAGGATAAACTAGAAATAATGTTTGTTTTGTAAGTACTTAATCACAATTCCCTAATGACAGTAGTGCTGATTGTCAATTATGAGAATTTAATTTGCCGAATAATTCGTGCAATATAGCATTATAGTTTTCCAACCACTTGCTCAACATTGGAACGGAAGTGACGATGCCCCTAAACGCACGAATGATGTTCACTAAAACCAGAGTTTTTGACGGAAATGCATCGAACTCAAAAGTTGTCTATTCTGTTGTGTTAAATTGAGATGTATTTTGTCTTTGACTGCTCTCACTTTTGATAAAGAATAACAAAACTATGGCCATTACTTGAATGTGCTTCTTCTGTGTATACAAGAAAGATAACTCAATTATAATTTTTTATGCCCCACCTATGATAGTAGAGGGGCATTATGTTTTTCGGTCTGTGCGTTCGTTTGTTCGTTTGTCCGTCTGTCCCACTTCAGGTTAAAGTTATTGGTCAAGGTAGTTTTTGATGAAGTTGAAGTCCAATCAACTTGAAACTTAGTTCACATGTTCCCTATGATATGATATTTCTAATTTTAATACCAAATTAGAGTTTTGACCCCATTTCACGGTCCACTGAACATAGAAAAGGATAGTGCGAGCGGGGCATCCGTGTACCATGGACACATTCTTGTTTTGATATTGAAGTACCTACTCATGATCTGTCTACAATTAACATACTTCTGACTTTAGGACTTAAAGGCTTAGGAGGAGGTCTTTTGAGTTGTGGTGCAAATTAGGAGGTTTGGGGAGGGGGGCTTGGGTTATCATTTTCTGAATTCTTTGTTTTATAAAATTTTCTCTATTCTTTATACATTGTATTTAAGCACCCATTATTCTCTCTTCTTCATATTTTGACCATTTTCATCTATTCTTTATTTTTGATATTAAAACATTTTCTCTATTCTGTAGCATATTTAGACCATAAGCAAATTATAAGGACAGGAACATTGACCAATAGATTCATTATATTAGTCCCTGTTTTGAGACATACAAGTCAAAACGAAAACATATCTTTTGAAGAAATACAGCTGTTTTGTTTTAATCTTAATTGTTATATATTTATTTGTACATGTATACTACTGAAATAGTGAAAATGAAAATGTTCTTGTTCATGTATTAAACCCTACGCAATAACTACTTTAATACTACTAGTATCATATTCAGCTGCTACCCAAGAAAGGTCGATTTTCTTATTACACAAAACACAAAAGCCCTCAAAATCCTAGCTTAAACCCTGGTTAACAGCAGTATGTTGTTCTGTTGACAGGTGTATGGGGATGCATATGATTTAGAATTAAATCAGCCTTGTATTCTTTCAGGTAAAAAGACCTACTCTTTACCAACAGCTAAATTAGATGATAGTGACCAAGAGTTAAAGGTAATCATATGTTTATTTGTTTGTGTTTAAGTTTTTAAAAAATTGTTTAGACCCTGAGCTATTATCATGATTATGAGTGTGTCTATCTGTTAGTCCCATGAAATTTAAATCACATTTTAGTTTGTACCCACTTATCTTTAATTTTGTTTTGAGTTCACCTGGCCTTAAATGCCATGTGTTTTTGCCATCACTTGGCATCCGTCCATCGTAGTAAACTTTTAAAAAATTCTTCTCTTACTACAGAGTCAAATGTTACCAAAGTTTACCTGAATGTTCTTTAAAGTGTCGTTATAAAAGATTATCTATTATCAGACAGAGATCTCCCTGGAATTTTAGCTTTTAGCGAAGTCTCCGGCTCAGGCTGGAAATGGATTTATAGGTTTTCGAGAGGCTAAAAATGCAATTTCCTGGGAGCAATTTTTATTATCTCAATAAGATTTTAAACTGCTTTGGTGTCAAACAGAACAGGACTGTAAGTCTGTTGCTTACATGAAGGTCAGCCAAAACTGTGCTTGGAGTCCGAAACCTCTAGTTTTAGCCCTTAAATTCACTTGCCATCTTTGTAAGAGCCTCTTAAGATAGCTAGCAAACTTTGAGAATAGAAAGGGCTGGTTCAGTATGAGCTGATCTATCTGCATTTAAGCCATAGTTTAACAATGTAAGGTCACTATTGTTATTGTGATGAATTGATAGTGCCAAGTCTAATGATCAAGTTTAAACCCTGTTACTAGAAAAATTATTTGTATACAAACATGTAAATGGATAGATTTTTTAGCAATTAATATTCATATGGTAATGGAGATTCCTGTTTAACCTGTGAAAAATTCTTGCTCTTACCTATAGTGTAAATCTTTAAATTAGTATTGAGTTTAACATCTTCAGTTTATTTCTGCCCATTTCTCGCTGAAGCTCAATGTCACCAAATATCTGAATTTATTATTAGATATCATTTATCTAACAGCCAATTTTTGGACAAGTCGAAGAAATGGTTACCTTTTTTTCTATTTTTTTTGCAGATAAGAATACCACAAGATTTGGAAAAGGAGATTGTTGATGTGATTCAGGATGATTATAAAGAGCTGAAAATTACAAAAGACCAGTCCAACAGACTGACAACCAAAAAACTCCATGTATGTTAACTTTTATTGTCAATGTCCCAACTGTTAACTTTAACACAATAGTTTTTATACGACTGCAAAAAAATTTTGTGGTCGTATATTGGTATGACGATGGCGTCGTCGTCGTCTTCCGAAGACACATTGGTTTTCGCACTCTAACTTTAGTTTAAGTGAATGGATCTCTATGAAATTTTACCATAAGGTTCAATATCTCAAAAGGAAGGTGGGGATTGATTTGGGGGTTATGGTACCAACAGTTAAGGAATTAGGGGCCAAAAATAAGCATTTTTGTAACTTCCAGACATAACTTGTGTGCTAGTGTATGGATCTCTCTGACATTGTACCACAAGGTTCCATATCACAAAGGGAATCCTGGGATTGATTTTGGGGGTAATTGCCTCCAAATTTTAGGAATTAGGGGCCAAAAAGTGGCAAAAAACAAGCATTTTTCTAGTTTCATGACAATAACTTGTGTGTAAGTGTATGGATCTCTCTGACATTGTACCACAAGGTTCCATATCACAAAGGGAATGCTGGGATTGATTTTGGGGGTAATTGCCTCCAAATTTTAGGAATTAGGGGCAAAAAAGGGGCAAAAAACAAGCATTTTTCTAGTTTCATGACAATAACTTGTGTGTAAGTGTATGGATCTTTATGAAATTGTACTACAAGGTTCCATATCACAAAGGGAAAGCTGGAATTGAGTTTGGGGGTAATTGCCCAAAACGTTTAGGAATAAGGGGCCAAAAATAAGCATTTTTCTAGTTTCCAGACAATAACTTGTGTTCAAGTGTATGGATCTCTCAGAAATTGTACTGCAAGGTACCATACCACAAAGGGAAGGATGGGATTGATTTTGGGGGTAATTCCCTCAAAATTTGAGGAATTAGGGGCCATAAAGGGGCAAAAAAACAAGCATTTTTTCTAGTTTCAGGACAATAACTTGTGTGTATTAGTGTATGGATCTTTATGAAATTGTACTGCAAGGTTCCATATCACAAAGGGAAAGCTGGGTTTGAGTTTTGGGGTAATTGCCCTAAACGTTTAGGAATTTGGGGCCATAAAGGGGCCAAAAAAACAAGCATTTTTCTAGTTTCCAGACAATAACTTGTGTTCAAGTGTATGGATCTCTCTGAAATTGTACTGCAAGGTACCATACCACAAAGGGAAGGCTGAGATTGAGTTTGGGGGTGATGAATCATAAGGGGGTTCAAAAAATTTGGGGGGGGGATTTTTTTTTCCTTTTTTTTCTTTAAAATTTTCCATTTTAAATTGGTTATTTCTGATTTATATATAAAAGCAAATAATAATGATATGTTTTGAATAGGTAAATTAAAAAATTTTAAGTTCTTAGACCACATTCATTCTGTGTCAGAAACCTATACTGTGTCAAATATTTAATTACAATCCAAATTCAGTGCTGTATCAAGCTTGAATGTTGTGTCCATACTTGCCCCAACTGTTCAGGGTTCGACCTCTGCGGTCGTATCAAGCTGCGCCCCAGCGGAGCATTTTATTAGAATTAGAAACTTTCCATCAACATGATGCATTTTTCTTTAAATGTATTTGGAAGAGTAGAAAAGGGCCTTTATGTGAAAAGTGAGGCCCCTCATGGGGGTGTCCAAGTAATCACATAATCACAAATTTGCCAATATAATCACATAATCATTAATTATTTTTTTAAACAAGATAATCAAATAATCAAAAATACAGTCCTAGACTATTAAATAATCAAATAATCATGAAATGTTTGGTCTGGTAATCAAATAATCACTATAAAAATGGACAAGTAATCACATAATCAAAAACCCCATGAGGAGGCTCAAAAGTGGGCTTAGTTTTCTTGATTTTTAAAGGAAACTTCCTCATTGGATTGATTTTTTTTTAAAGTCAGAAAAAGGTCATGATTTTTAGTACACTTCAAATTATGAAAATGTTACAAATCTTTTGAAAAAGGGTACAAGTTTTTTTGTGTAATCAACTCCTCCTACAGTTATCAACATAGATCCCTGAAACATAACAGGAAGATTGCACATATATTGAAGTTGTGGAATTATCTCAGGAATTTTTGACTTTTCATATTTCAGATATTTAAATGTTCAGTATATTTTAGCTTTCTCTGTTGCTTTAGAAACATTATGCACAACCCAGCCATTTGAGTCTTTGATCTAATTTTTTTTTCAGGACATATACACCAGTCTAGCTGGAGCAGGATTTAGTCATTCACAGATAGAACAGACAATGAGCAATACAGTATTACATGGAGGAGATCTTATTGATGCATTAGATTGGCTTTGTTTGAATTTAGCTAACAGTAATTCTTTCTTATATTTTAACAACTTAGTCAGGGTTTGACACTAACTAAATGTATGTACTAGCCTGCAGGGCTAGTGAAATTTATATTCTACTTGTCCTCTTAATAAATCACTAGCCCACCAAGTGCCAAAGGCACTTGGACGGTCGTGCCAATGGCATGACCCTATCTAGGAGGGTCTGGGGGCATGCTCCCCAGAAAATTTTGATACAAATGAAGCCAAATCCTGTGTTCTGGAGCATTTCCAGAGGGTTTTGAACATGTTTTGTTTCATGAAATTTCACTGGTTTGCTAATAAAAAATACCCCAAAAAAAAAAAAATTTCATATTTTAATCATCTATATTAAGAATGTGTTCGACTTATTTTGAAGACCCCTTTAGATCATTACTTCATCATCCTCCTCATTTTACTTATTATTATTACTTGTGTCTTTAATGAAGATGGATAAGTAAGGGATTTACAAATACACCAACAAAAGAGGAAAGGTTTGCCCTTGCTGTTTTTTTTTTTGTCATAATTCTTCATGGACACCTTCTTTTCCCCTTGTTGTTTGTCAGTTGTTTTTTTTTTTTTTTTTTGCAGGACGAAATTTTATTCCTAAAAATCTGTATATTTTTGCCAGAGACCTATAATTTAGTATATATTATATGTCAGTGATATTGTTTGCCTCAAATTACATCCGAAATACAGCTTTTTCCCCTAAAGAAAATTCCCAATTACTAAAAAAATGGCTTAAAATTACTCCCAAAAAGTTGTACAATTTTCCCAAATAGTGATGACTTCGGTAGTAATGTATGTAAATTTCGTATTTATGTTATTATTTTGATATTCTGAAAGCACTTTTGAGATCCAGGTTTCCGATCAGAATCATCACGGCGTTTGTAACACATGTGGTTTTCAATGTATTAAGTACCATCATTGTTTCAGTTTCTTTCCCCTCCCCAAAAAGTACCTTTCATGTTAAAAATGTCTGACAATCAAAATATACGTGAATAAACTGTACAATAAAGACAGCAAAGGTCAGCAAAAAATGTGGGTTTTGTTGACAATTAAAATTTGGTAAAATTCCTAGTTATAAACAAAATTTTGACTAGCCCGTCGGACTACTGTGATGAAAACTTTACTAGCCCTCCCTAATTTTTACTAGCCTCGGGCTAGCAGACTAGCGTTAGTGTCGACCCTGTTAGTGCACACAAATAATCACAAGAATTTAAGTTTACAAACATATAATATTACACATGACACACTAGAGGCAATGTGGCAAGTATGAAATATATTATAAAATTGCTTTTATTTTAGACATTTCATCTACTCTTATTTGTATTTTAAACACAACTGTAAATAAAGGACTACTGATTGATTGATCCAGCAGCAAATAATCCATCCATATTCAGGACAAAACATGATGTCATATAAAAATTCCCTGCTAAGTACAGACTGACATGCTGAGTGGCAATTTTTACATGCTAGACAAGAATGTAACGATTGACAGGAATACTTTTCATTCTGTACAGATTATACCAAAACCAAACTGTTTTACCAGTAAATGCAATTACTCCTAAAATGCTGCGTGCTTTGCATTAAAACATCAAATGTCAATTTTAAAATGTTTGGTTTGAAATAGCTAGGGATCAAACCCATAACCATTTGCAGTTAAGACTAGAATTAGTTCACTGAGGCAGTAAAGCGAATTTTCCCTGTCAGAAGTTTTTCGAGGGCTGAAATATAACGTGTACTTTTCAAAAAAAATTATATGCAACATTTGAATTTTGACAAAACAGTAGGTCTTATAAATTAAAACCTGTTCATTTGTTTGTAGATCAGTTGCCTCAAGGGTTTTCTGACACACTAGAAAAAGAAGAAGTCAAGAACAGACCAAAGTTTGATGACCAGCTTATAGAACAGAAGAAGCTGCTTCCAGCATCAACTTCAAAAAGGATAACTGCAGAAAAATCAAGTACAGATGAAAAACCACATGTAGTGTAGCAGGATTATAGATCAAATATGGGGTTGAAAAGCTTCTTTAAATCAACAAATAATTGCATAAGTTTACAATTAGTAGAGCTATTTTAAACGGAGAATTCTATATGAGTGTTATCTATATATCACAAAAGATAATTCACTATCAGATTGTAGGTTGTTTCAATTAAACTCTATATAATGATTTAAAAAGAATAAACATTTCATGATACAATGGTTTTTTTTTCAATTATTAAGCGATTTAAAGGATTATAATAAGGGGAGAGTAGTCTTTGTTTTAACCATGTTTATTATTTCTTTTAGTTTCTTTGTATAGAAATAATAGTGTTCTAAAATGTTAGCATGATCTTCTCAGAAATCAGTCAAATCATCTACAATGAAGGATTGGATTTTACAGTATACTGAGAATAGCTCTGATGATAGTCAATCTGATGAAGAATATGATCCAGTGAGTATAAAAATCAATACATTTGTTTACCTTTGATGAGGTGTGTTGTGGAATTGCTGTGTTATTGGCATTTTATTCTTCTTTATTTTCACGTACTTGTTCTCTTTTCACGACACAACAAGAGAGTATAGAAATATCCATCTGTTTTTAGATGGTTAAACACATTGAATTTTTTACCAGTTTGACTGTAACTTAAGCTTTTGTGATCTATTGATTATCACTTACTGGCTATGTAAAAGCCATGCCTTTGAAAATGTTACAAATTTAAAAAACGTTCCTTGTGTGTTCCATAACATTTTCAGCCTTCAAAAAAATTGACTGAAACTGATACAGTAGTAATTTATAAACTATTTGATTTTCTGAAAAGAGCTGAATATTTGTCCTTTGAAAATAAAAAAAAATGTCAAGCTTGTCTTTTAAATGGTCACTCTTCTGTTTCATTTATTGGAAAAGTATGCAGCAAACATACAATTTAAAAAAAAAAGTAAAATATTTACGGAGTTGCACCCATTTCAGATGTGGGTTTTAGGAAACATTTGGCTACTATGGGTAACCTTGTTCCAAGCATTTGTACAAGTAACTTTTATTATATATATGAAAAAAGACTGTGCGGGGTACATGTCAATGAGACATTAACCCAATGGAATGTTATGTATCTTCTATTTCTAGGTTTAGGTCAAACTTTATAAGAATTTATGTATGTAGTACAGTAACAAAATGATTTTGTAGCATATGATAGAAAATTGTAAATAACTTAATGTCTGTTAAGGAAATAATATATATATTTCAGAACGAAAAGTATCTTGAGCTAACAGCAAAGCTATTAGATGCCAGAGAAGAGGCAGTGCAAGCTAAACTAGAGGGAGCCAAATCTAGACAGAAGGAAATATCAAATAATATTAGAAAACTTGTTCAAGGTACATTTTTTCTAGTTTTGATAATGGTAAATGATTATGCAATACACAGGATCTTTGCTATTTAGAACAACTGGAAGTAAAGTTGGGGAAATTGCGTAGATGAATCTGTGTGTTTTTTCTGTCCATAAATATTGCAAACATCCTCATTATTTTCATTTGAAGTGGAAAGCTGCAGCTTTTTATCCTTTCATATATATATATATATATATATACTGCTGACATTTGTCAGTACAGTTTTAACAGATTTGACATTAATCTGTGAACTATTAGGGAAAATTAAAATCGCAATAACATTCCATGACTTTATAATTTTGTAGTTTCTTGAAAGATAAGAAGAAGAAAAATTGGAAGGGGCTTAAAGGTCTTACCCATACTAAAAATAACAAAAGACAGTTCAAAAAAGTGGTCAACTTCATCAATTAAAAACATGTGTTCTATAAATAATAATGATCCTTTTTAATATGTTGAAGAAATGAATGCCATAGAGGAAGATAGCAGATTTAACCCAGCTGTAAAAATAAAAGACCTAGAAAAAGAAAAGGTTAATGAATTGGGTGAGCAAGGTCCGACATCAACAGTAATTCAGCCACATGACATACCATCTTTATCATGTGATCAAGGACTTGCATCATCAGTTAGTCATGACATGCCATCTGTACCATGTGATCAAGGTGGATCACAGCCAGATGAACAAGAGGAGTCAGAAGACTTTGGAGATGCATTTACTATGTTTGAAAATCAAGCTGCGGAAGAACAGCCAACAGGTATGAAATATAGTTTATACTTTTATGTAATCCTCTTTCTATTGTTAGAAGTGTGGGGCATATACATGTAGTTCATTTAATGAAATATGCATCATTAGAATAAAAATAATAAAAATTTAACATAATAAGATTTAAACCTAGTCACATTTTTCACATCAATTCAGATATTACAATTATATTTGAATGTGCAGTTTATTTATGTGTATATATTTACAGAACCTAAGATAGATTTGAGCCAATTAGATATCAGACAATTTGAGTACACACGACAACAGTGGACTGGTAAATCTCCCAAACAGTTTCTAATAGATTGGTGTCGAAAACATAAAGTGGATTCTCCAAAATATCATAAAATGAACCCCGTCAGAAATCTGTGGAAATGCAGGTATGTTATAGTGAAGCAAAACTTAATCATTACTGTGAACAAAAATGGAACATAATGTCCAAGAATTTTCTTGAATAATTAATTAATGACCATTGTGTCATTTCTTTCACCTGTGTTACCAACCTTTGTTGTCTTGTGCTTCTCTCTTTGTTCAATCCATGGCTGGGTCAAACCAAAGACTTTAAAACTAGTATTAATGGTTTCTGGTATACTGAAGCTAAGCACATATCATTAAGGAGTAAGAGCAAAGCCTGGTTGGCTTATAGTCAGAATATAATAATGTGTCTGGGTAGAATATTTCTGTCAAACGTTACCTTGTACTTTAATATTATACAGGCTTTCTGATAAATGTTTTTGCGTTCAATTTCTTGTTTTACATCTACCATTGTCTCATACAGTACAACACATTTAAGGATGGAACATTTGAAAAACAGATCTAGACCTTCATTTGAAGAATTTTTTCTCTTTTTTATAGAAAGTATTTCCATCACCATTGAAACTTATAAAATTACATAGTAAAATATTGTGTCAAAACCAAAGTAGCATCAATGCAATGTAAATGGGATATTGCAATATGAAGGCTGTATATTATTTGTGTTGGTTTTATTTTCCAGAGTGACAATAGGAAGAAAGAAAGAAGAAAATATTGAAGCTTGTCCTGAAATTCTATGTGAAAATGTGAAAGAAGCAGAGCATTTGGGATGCACTCTGGCATTATATCACCTATGTAAGGGACAGGTAAGAATAATCTGTTAAATGGCTTATCTTATATCATGTGTGCTATGGTATCCATCACTCAAACAGTACTTAATAGCAGGTATATTAAAAGATGACTACTACCAGGAACTGATATACGATTAATTTATTTTCTTTACCGTTAAAAGGCTTGTATAGTCCGCAGTTTTATTCTCCAAAATTGAACCTGCCAGAAGGGGTACGGACTATAGAGTACAATAAGCAAGAAATAAAAGAAAAAAAATCGTGAGGTACATGTAGTTTGTTTACGTTCCGCCATGTTTGTTTTTGATATTGTAGAGGGCGCTCTTATCATTTTTCAAACTAATAATTTTACCTAATCCATATTAATAAGTTATTTTTATTCAATATCAAATTAAAACTGATAAATTTAAAAGTTAAACACTTCATTACAAATTTCTTGTTTCTTTTCAATGCATTGATTAAAATAAACTGGTATCTGCTTGAATGAAACGATACAAAAAAAGTAAAAAAGACAACCGTAAACCAGCTTACGATGTGTAAATTACAAAACGTAATCGGTTATTATTTGTTCCGTTTCCGTGTTTCATACTGACAAATATGTTTTATATTAGCTTAAAACCCTTCAAACATTAATGTAATAGATATATTAAACACTGTTTTACATAAAGATGGAACTGTTTTACTTTCAAAGTCGTATTATAGTGATATCTATGATGTACGGATTTCGACACTCACCGTTTTTTTTCTTCTTTTACACATGCTATTCAAACTTCCAGTTTAAACATACACAAGTTTCTAAATTGTTTTTTGTGCGATTTAGACTTATTTTAACAATCTTCTAGTGTCATTTACAAGCAGTTTAAGCTTCTGTTTGATGACGGAAAACAGGTTTTTCCAAGAAAATACCGCAAATGACCATGCACGATTTGAAATTACCGGAGTTTCATTAGACCTTTTCTAACAGTTTCAAGAAGTTTTTTACCTGAAGTTATGTGAGGAGAAGGGGGTGCGGACTATGCACTAGTGCGAACTATATAAGCCCGATTACGGTAATACCTTTAATATAATCAGTAAAATTTGTAGTATTTTTCATTGACTCATAGATGTCTTTTGTGGTGTTTGTAATTGTTAGTCTGATGTTTTTTCTTCATATCAAGAGGTCAACATATAATTTTCTGAAATAAACCAGGCTCTAAATACTATCTAGTTAAGACTTACTGTGTATGAACTTAACAGTGCCTTCCAAAGATCAGTCTTTGTCTTATTCCAATATCTGTACCAATCTTGGATATATAAAAAAATGTATTGTATTACGATTTTTTTAGGCTGTACATCAGTTATTGCCTCCACCTTACAGAGATGTTTGGTTAGAATGGCAGGATTCAGAGAAAGCCAAGGCAAAGGAAGCTCAGACAACAGAAAATAAGGTAAAGTTGATTATATACGAACAGCATTCGTAAAAGTATATATTTTTACTTGATCATCAGCATTGGAAGATTCAAAAATTTGTCACTTAAAATTTTTGCAGGATATCATTTTATGACACTGAATGGGAATGAAATAGAACAAGCATCTAATTTGATGTATAAAAAATAAGTTTCAGTTAGAGGGACAAAAAAGCTCAAATCAGTTATGTGGTTGAATAGTAAGGCAAACACAATGCTGAACACATATCAAATTGGTTACTGAAGAACTGTATATTTATTAAAGATTGCAAGCCGGGTTGGAATGCAAAAAATATTAAAGCAAGAGAAAACTTGCATAAGCTTTGGAAGTCCTTATTTACAGTTTAGTACATAGAAAATTTATAAGTTTAAACTAATATAGTAATATTATCCTTATTACAATATTTTATTGTAATAACTTGCAAGTGCTATGAATGTCCTCATATTAAAGTGGTCTATTAGATGGCACCCTTAGTGCTATGAATGTCCTCATATTAAAGTGGTCTATTAGATGGCACCCTTAGTGCTATGGATGTCCTCATATTAAAGTGGTCTATTAGATGGCACCCTTAGTGCTATGAATGTCCTCATATTAAAGTGGTCTATTAGATGGCACCCTTAGTGCTATGAATGTCCTCATATTAAAGTGGTCTATTAGATGGCACCCTTAGTGCTATGAATGTCCTCATATTAAAGTGGTCTATTAGATGGCACCCTTAGTGCTATGAATGTCCTCATATTAAAGTGGTCTATTAGATGGCACCCTTAGTGCTATGGATGTCCTCATATTAAAGTGGTCTATTAGATGGCACCCTTAGTGCTATGGATGTCCTCATATTAAAGTGGTCTATTAGATGGCACCCTTAGTGCTATGAATGTCCTCATATTAAAGTGGTCTATTAGATGGCACCCTTAGTGCTATGGATGTCCTCATATTAAAGTGGTCTATTAGATGGCACCCTTAGTGCTATGAATGTCCTCATATTAAAGTGGTCTATTAGATGGCACCCTTAGTGCTATGAATGTCCTCATATTAAAGTGGTCTATTAGATGGCACCCTTAGTGCTATGAATGTCCTCATATTAAAGTGGTCTATTAGATGGCACCCTTTATTTATCTGCCAATTCAGCTAAAGGTCATTTACAAACCTATTTATTGCAGCCAAGAGATCAGCTTATAACTAAGTTAATGAAGAAATTACAGCTGGGCAGCAAAAATAGTGAAAACCAGACTACAGAGGGAACAAAGGAGAATGATGACACTGTTGACTCTTGGGAAAACTTGGAAGAAGAGGTAAGAATTAATTTAAAAATAAGAAGATGTGGTTGCCAATGAGATAACTCTCCACAAGAGACCAATTGACATAGACATTAACAACTATAGGTCACTACGACCTTCAAAAATGAGTAAAACCCATACCACATATTCAGCTATAAAAGGCCCTGAAATGACAAATGTAAAACAATTCAAACAAGAAAACTAACGGCCTGATTTATGTACAAAATAATTAACGAAAAACAAATATGATATACAGCAACAAACAACAACCACTGAATTACAGGCTCCTGACTTGGGACAGGGACATATAGAATTTGTCCACAAATCATGAAAACTATTTGAAAGTGTTAGGATTGGTTGATTGATTTATTGGTGCTTAACATCCAGCTTTAGAAATTATTTGGGAAATATAGTGTTGAAACTCATGTAATAAAACAGTTTACAAGAATACGTCGCCCTTCTACTACTAGAAAAGTATATGACTATGGGCACCAGTTTCTATTTTAATATCTTAATGCTGCACCCTTGACAGAGAAACAGTCAATAGACAGTTTTAAAGGTGTTGGATTAACCAGATAGATAGAACCCAAATTTTAGAGAAGCATTATAACATTAGATCAACAAGGGGGTGTATCTATCATTTAGTTGTCATGTGTTAAAATTTGAGATCAAAATAGCTAAATGAATTGAACCTAGCCAATGCATGATAAAGCAAACTGATAGACACACCAAATTTCTTAAGCATACTGTGGATTCATTTATTTTTGTGGGTACAACTTTTCATGGATTAAGGAAAACTTGCATATTTGTGGATATTTGATTTTGTCGTTATGCTTAAGTCAGCATTTATTCCTATAGAACATTTGTAATTCATTGAACAACATTTGTAATTCATTGAACATTTATATTCATGGTTTCCCTGTACCAACTAAAACCACGAAAATTGGAACCCAACGAATCGAAATAAATCCACAGGAGTATATCAAAGAAAAAACAGATGTTGTGATCTTAGTGGGTCATTGTTTAAGTTTGTGAAAAACACAATACCATTATTAATACTTCTTTGTCTACCAACCATACTGAATATGTCGCTGATATTGCCTATGGGAATTTGTGTAAACAAATATCATCATGCTTATACATTTAAAAAAAGAATTAAGTTTTGTATTACTTTTCTATATATTAACAGACAGAAATAGTTAAGGTACATGAAGCTTCCATGTCAAGGTCAAAGAAGCAGAGGTCAACTATGGACAGTACAGCCTTAATGGATTTGTGTAAAAGGCGTCAACAGACTGACAGATATAGATCTCTTCATCAGACACGACAGAATTTACCTGTTTATCATTACCGTGAATCCATTGTTGATCAGATTAGACGCAGTGGTGTCACTGTTATAGCTGGGGAAACAGGAAGTGGAAAAAGTACACAGATTCCTCAATTTCTGTTGGAGGTTAGATTAATAGATAAGTTGTAGTTTTATCACAATGTAGTGGCAAGTAGCTAAGTTCTCATTTAATTTTCAAGAAGTGTGCTTTATGTGTTAGATGGTTATTTGCTGCAATGAGTGATGAATTATCCAGTTCTGTCTAAACAATGCAACATATTTTGAACTTTGAATTTCTTAATTATTTGATGAATATAAGAAAAATAACTGTGTCCAGTGAGAATGAGCCTTTGGTCAAGTAAAGTTGAAAAAGAAATAAAACAAAGGGAATGAGGAGAGGATATAAAAAAAACTATACTATGTGGACTTATACAATGTATATTTCATTGCAGAGATACATAACTGAGGGAAATGGAGCCCATTGTAATATAGTATGTACTGAACCCAGGAGAATATCAGCCATTAGTCTGGCCCAAAGAGTGTCGGAGGAGATGGCAGAATCAGGACTAGGTCAGCGAGACTCTTTAGTAGGGTACCAGATTAGATTTGAATCAAAATGTGGTCCTAATACCAGATTGAATTACTGTACAACTGGTGTCCTGCTGAGGAAACTACAGAGTGACACAACCCTGAGTAATGTCACTCATGTCATTGTTGATGAGGTAAATACAGGGAAAAATTGATATGTGTATGATGTCTTTGTTCAGATGAAATAATTATTATTCATTGATATATTCATACATTTATTTGGAAGAAAAATACGATTTTTTGTTTTAATATTTACTGCCTTCAAATTAGATTATATTTATGAACTGTCTTCAACTGTGAGTTTCAATCCAAATCTTATGGAAAGCATGTAATGAGGCTGGAAAATAATTATTAGGCAAAATGGAATTTCTTGTTTTCTTTATACAAAAAACTTTAAAGAAAATGTATTTACATACATGTATATTGATACCTTATTTTGATAATATAAAAAGAACCTTTTCACTTCATTCTAGGTACACGAGAGAAGCGTGCAGTCAGATTTCCTTCTAGTTATATTAAAAAGGTTAATGCTAAAGAGACCAGATTTGAAAGTTATCTTGATGAGTGCCACATTAGACAGTGAGAAATTCTCAGGATATTTCCAACATTGTCCAGTTATAAATATTCCAGGAAGGACTTTCCCTGTACAGGTATTTAATGTATAAATAGATACAGGCTATTCCAGGAAAACATGACATTTGATGGTTTGAATAAGAACAGTTTATGATAAATCATGTAAAGATTTCAAAAAGACATTTTGTTCTAAATTATATCTTTTTTTTCAAGTGAATGGATTTTCAGCTATAATACAAACTAGTGTATGTAAAAAAGAAATTATGGAACCTAGACGTCTTTCCTTATGATGAGAGTTTTGTGTGTCCATTTCAGGTGTTTTATATGGAAGATGTAGTTAACAAGACAGGATATGCAGTGGAGGAAGATTCACCTTACTCTCTCAGATCTGATCAACTTGTCAAGGTATAAGCTACAGTTAATATTACTTTGTTTACAAATGTTATGAATTATATATGTCATATCCATCAATACACAGGAAATTTTCTAGTCAATCATAATAAAGCCACATAAGTGGTCTAGAGGAAGTGTGAGCTTTATTCAAAGACTTTAGAATTGGTATTTTGTTCTTTTCTTTCAAGGACACTCCATTTAGGATTAAGAGCCAAGACTGGTCAGCTCGGAGTCAGAATAATTTGTCCGGGTAAGGTGAAATGTCTTCCTGGGGACTGTTAACTTGTGAACTAGCATGTTAAAAATCCGGCTCAGTGTGTTGGTCTAGTAAAAAGCAGTGTTAATACTCATATTACATTAACATGTTCTCGTCCTGAATATGCATATTGATTTGCCCCTGGAAGTTAAGCCGCCATCCATCATCATCATCCATCAATACACATGAAATTTTCAAATCGATCAAAATAAAGCCACATAAGTGGTCTAGTGGAAGTGTGAACTTTATTCCAAGACTTTAGAATTGGTATTTTGTTTTTTTCTTTCAAGGACACACCATTTGGGGATTAAGAGCAAAGACTGGTTGGCTCTTAGTCAGAATAAGGAGTCCAGGAAGGAAGACCTAGCACGTTAAAACAATGGTCCAGTTGTATTTGTCTAGTACAAAATAGGGTTCATGATCAAATTAAATTTACAATGTTGTCCTGGATAATGTGCTGGTCAAAGTTAAGCATCTTTCAATTTTTCCAAAAGTAAAATGAACACTCGAAACTTCTGCCCCATATTTTAATCTTGACCTCAATGAGATATTGATTTTGCCTATGATAGTTGAGAGGCATTATGTTTTCTGGTCTGTGCCTCTGTCAATCCGTCTGTACTGTATCAGGTTAAAGTTTTTAGTTATGATAGTTTACTATGAAGGTGTGGTCACATGAACTCTTAAAATTGTATGCAAGTTTTGACCCATATTACATTGATTACTCATTACAAAAATGTGATGGTGAGAAATTATTACATTCTGAGGTAGAAGTTTTTGGTTAGGTAGTTTACCATGAAGTTTTGGTAACATCAACTTGAGACTTTGTACACATGTTCATTGTTAGGTGAACTTACAAATTAAGAGTTTTGACCAACATGGATATGAGATGGTTCTAGGAAGCATGGTGTCTTATAGTGTTGTTTTTTATTTTCCTGACTTTAATACTAGCTAGGATTACATTTTCTGTTTAAAGATATAAATGATAGTTAAATGTTTTATTTTTGATTTTATGTCATTTTATCGTACCTAGGAAGAGCAAGCCAGTTTGTTAGTAACAGAAAAAGGAGGAGACCAGTCAAAAGTTGATGTATTCTGGACAAAAGATAGTATCTCAAAGTTGGATCTGGTAGGTACTTATGTTTTTTTTAAATGTCTTATTGTCAATGGTTAAAATTTGGTTGTGATCAGATTATTTAGTGTCTATGGGAATGATCCGAACAGAATGATGTACCCTGCTGAACCAGTTTATAATAAAAATCAGTACTTTGTCAATCAATCAATTTGTATAGACCGAAATAACATTACGATAGGCAAAAATTATGGATACTTACATTTTTTTACTCCATATAAGTTTTCAATTGCTGATATATCACTCTCTAGGCCATTAAAAGTTACCAGTGATGCTGTTTGTTGGCTGGTTATATTCCATAAATTCTTTATCTGATGATTTTTACTGATCTTGGAAATCATTGGAAAGAAATAGTCTTTCGTGGCAACAGATATTAATTGTTACACAGAATGGTATTTGGCAAAAACAGTTATATCACAATAAGAAATAGGTAGACTGAAATGATATACATGTACAACATCAATTACATATGCTGTTTTGACTTGCACTCTGCCTGATAGTAGATATAACCACAGAATTTTGTATAAAAAACAAATTAAAGACAATTGGTTGAATTTTATTTCATTCTAGACAACTCTGTCTCCAGAAAAGTACAGTCTAAAGACCAGAAATACAATCACTCGAATGAACCAAAACAGAATAAATTTCGATCTCATTGTTGTAAGTATCAACCTTGTCTTAAAAATTATTACAATCCAAATGAAGGCTGACAAAATTCATATATGGAAAGCAAAAATTACGTTCTAAACTTAGAATCAAAGTTAACAAATTTCAAGTTTTTGTATAAGAGTAGAGTAGCACTTTTAAATTCCTTTTGTATGATGATGTATAAGACCTTATTTAGTGTCCATCCATCTCCAAGTGATTAATAATTTTGGATTTTGACTTGTAGTTTTGCAAGTTACCATCTGTCTTCAGAGATATGAATTTTAGATATGTGAGTTTTTCAGAATTATGATCCATCGATTATTTGTCTTAGCTTCCATAAGACAATCACAAATGCCTTTTAGAATTTAATATTTTTTACTAATGACAAAGTTGATGTTAAGTTTGTTTATTGATTGGGTAATGGCACTTTATATTGACTCCATACAATTACTTAAGAACCTTTCAGCCAGTATTGTAACTAAAGACAATGTGGAGGTAAATTTCAACATTGACAATTTTCACTTCTGCAGTTCAGGAGTTATGGTCCTTGGCTGATTCAAAATGGCACTTGATGACAGTTCCATGCTTTAACTTGAAAATGCTTGATACAATCCTTTTCAAATTTTTATTTGTTGTTTCTCATGAAGAAATAGAAGTCATAATGGTTTTGTCAATTTTTGCCAGCCGTCAGAAGTTATGACCTTAGATTGCTTTAAAAATGACACAAAACAGATGTATACCATTGTCACTTAACATACATTCTCACCCCTGTTTTATGTTTTTAAAGCATTTGCAAATTTTTAATTTTATGATATATTCTTTTATAGGAGACGCTAACGTACATAAGTAATTCTGAAGAATTTAGTACAGTAGATGGAGCAGTATTAATATTCCTTCCTGGTTTAGCTGATATTCAGGAAGTGTATGAACTTCTACAATCTGATAGGAAATTCTCTGATACAAAAAGGTATGGACAAGTGAAGTATTTTTAGACCCAAAAAAAGTGCTATTAAAGGACTTTTTCTTTGAAAAAATTTATCCAAACTGAATGCTGGGGTTAGAAGAGCTCATCATTTAAAATTTGATGGATGGTAGTTATTTTTAAAAGATAGCCTGAATGATTAGAGGAATTAATCAAGTAAAAATTTATGCATGACAGGGTAAAATAAAAGAGTTCATTCCAACACCCCATACATTTATTTAATGTACAGGAAAAGGCAGGATTATGAAAGTTTTCTATAATACATAGGGTGATTTAATGAACAGCTTATAGAAATATACATAACTATTTTTATTTGTTTTATTACTGTAGGTACCAGATACTAGCTTTGCATTCTGTATTGTCTTCATCAGACCAGAGTTTAGCATTTAAAGTGCCTCCAGCTGGTGTCAGGAAGATTGTCATATCAACCAATATAGCAGAAACAGGGATCACCATTCCAGATGTTGTGTTTGTTATTGACACTGGAAAGGTTAAGGAGACGAGGTTAATTTTTACTGGATCTTAATTTTACATGTAAAATATATTTGAAATATTCTTGGGTATCTTTAACCATGAACAGGTCAGTTTATGTTTTAAATCTGGTCCAAGTAAGATATGTCTTAAGAATTTTAAAGTCCTTTGAAAATATGATATTTTACATGCATAACAATTTTATCATTCTGAAGATGGAAAATATTATACAACATTAGACTTGCATTTTCACTGCATGGCCATGCAGTAAGATATCTGGATTTTTACCTGCCCAGGTGGAAGCAGGTCTAGTAACTGCTCAACTCTGTCAGTCCATCCGTCCTACAGAAATCTTTCGTCAAAGTTTTCTTTGTTTCTGTGAAAGAGAATGATTTAGTATTTGGTCTACAGCTTGGTAATGTTGAGTTATAGTGAGTAAGCAATATTTACATCTGCTGTTTACCTACTTCCTGTTTGTCGATAATTTGAAATTTTACAACAATCTTGTACAAAAAAAATCGAGCGTTGTAAAATTTCAAATAACGTCAAATTTTCCTGGCTCCTATTGAAGAGCATCATCTAATATTTGGTCTGCAGCTTGATAATGTTGTAGGGAGTAAGCAATTTTTGCATCTTCTGTATATCCACTACGTGTTTGTCGTTAGTTTAAAATTTTACATACTTATTGTACAACGAAAATTTTCGTCAATGTTTTCTTGGCTCATATTGAAGGGAATTGTCTAATATTTGGTCTGCAGCTTGATAATGTTGAGTTGTATATAATAAGCAATTTTTATCATCTGCTGTGTATCCACTTCCTGTTTGCTTATTGTTTGAAATTTTACAACACTCATTGTATAAGGAAAATTTTTCGGCACAGTTTGCTTGGCTATATTGAAAGGGGATGATCAGTTATGCTCCGGTCTACATGTTACCTCAATCAATTACTTGCAGCAACGCAGCAGACCTGGTATTGGTCTTGATCGGAATACTTGAGATTTAACTTGAACCTAAAGTATGACATACTTTATGTACTATTATGAGTTAAATTAATGGTTTGTAAGTTGGAAGACTATTGATATTGATATGATAGTAGGCACTTATTTATAATCGTAATAATGATTCAGATTCATTCTATTCCCTAACCCATATATGAATAAAATTATGAATTTCAGATACATCGAGTCAAGTCAGATGAGTTCCCTGAAGGAAGTGTTTATCAGTAAAGCAAATGGTAAACAAAGACAAGGTAGAGCTGGACGTGTTAGAGAGGGGTTCTGCTTCAGATTATATACCCATCAGAAGTAAGTAGTTATTCCCATGGTTCATGGAATGTGGATAACTTATTTTACCCTTGCTGAAAGGGAGGAGAGTATACTGGTTTATGTATGTCTGATCCATAAAATTTTGGTTGCATTTTTCTCAGGAACTACTATTAATCAGAGCTTCATGAAATTTGGTGTGAGCTTTCTCCGAGCATGCTTTACTGTGTGGTGCATTTTTCTGTTTTACTCAATACTTTAATATTCTTGCACATAATGACCATGTATGAAATTTTCATCGCATTTTATTTAGAAACTACAAATCAAGGCTTTCTGGAATATGAAATCAAACTTCATGCAATAATATTTAGGATATAATGCATTTTCAGATTTCTTGCTCTTCCTCTCCCTGTTTATCCAATACTTATATATTCTTACACATAATGGCCGTCTATGAAATTTTCTTAGCATTTTTCTCAGGTACTTAAAATCGAGGCTTTCTAAAATATGGAATCAGACTTCATGTGAGCATGGTGTACAGTATGTTGTGTTTGCACATCCATTGCTAATCAACTTATAGAGCGAATACTTATCACAGAGGTATCATTTGTGAGCAATAGCTCTCAGCTCAACTATTTTATTTCTGTCTGTTTTCTGTGATATTTTCCCAGCAAGTCAATTATATGAATGGAGAAGGATCTGTAATAGCCTTATATGGTGCCAAATATGCCAAAAATTATTTCGGTAGCTTATAGTTTAACTATTGATACTTTGAAGAAACTAGTTCCTAAAATTTCAAATGATATAAAGGAAAATGTGAGTTTTTCCTGTACATTTGACATATATATAAAAATAAGAAGATGTGGTATGATTGCAAATGAGACAACTCTCCACATATGTGAGTTTTTCCTGTACATTTGACATATATATAAAAATAAGAAGATGTGGTATGATTGCAAATGAGACAACTCTCCACAAAAGACCAAATGACACAGAAATTAACAACTATAGGTCACCGTACAGCCTTCAACAATGAGCAAAGCCCATAACGCATAGTCAGCTATAAAAGGCCCTGAAATAACAAATGAAAAACAATTCAAACGAGAAAACTAACATATGCACATAAGAAATTGATGGGTAGCATTCTGTTACATGTAAACACTATATTCTTCCTTTTCCATTATTTTGATAAAAGATTTGCACTTTTTAACCAGGTTATCCTTTTATTTTCCAGGTACAAAGATTTAGCAGATTACACAGTGCCAGAGATACAGAGAGTACCTTTAGAGGAACTGTGTTTACATATCATGGTATGTATAATTTTACTATTCATTTCTTTATTATAATACCATCTTGTTTTAAACAGAGCACTTGTGTATAAAAACCTTGACATAATGTCCAGAGCTTTTATATGGCACAGAATTCACTCATTTTAAAAAATATTTAAGAAAAGGCAACATAATTAACTTGTAATTATTGGTACCTTGTATTCATCAAGTTAGATATTAAAAGTCTTCATAAAGAAGAGAAAAAGCTGTTAGTGATGAAAAGTAAAGTTTTCACCATATTTTTGATTATAGAATATGCTTGAAACAATTTTCAACATCTGCTTCAGTCATAATTGTTTCCTTTTCGTATTTACAGAAATGTCAGCTTGGTGATCCAGACAGTTTTCTAGCAGAATGTTTAGACCCACCTAGACCCCAGGTGATTGCAAGAGCCATGAGTTTACTGTATGAGATAGGTGCTTGCAAGGGTGTGGCCAGTCTGACTCCACTAGGACATCATTTGGCAGCATTACCAGTACATGTCAGAATAGGAAAAATGTTACTGTTTGGTGCCATCTTTGGATACATTGAACCAGTTGTATGTATTACATAACATTGTTTTGGTGAAAGGTTATATTAGATTTAATTTTTTGTTCCTGAATCAAGTTAATGCCACCTATGAAAGCTGTTGGTATCCCCTTTTTTCAATATTTGATACAGAATAAATTACTTTATGGTCAAATTTGAAAGATTATATTGTAGTTTTGAATAGAGGTCAATTATTTAAAAGATATTTTTTAACCTTACTCTTGTTTCTGCTATCATGCTGCCTTAAGGCATAATATAAGATCTCCTTGTTTTCATGAAATTATTTTTTTAATTTCTTTCAGGCTGTAATTGCTGCTGCCATGACAACCAAAAGTCCTTTTGTGGCGCCATTAGATAAACTAGACTTGGCAAACCTAGCCAAGAATTCCATGGCATGTTCCTGTTCTGACCACCTTACTCTTTACAGAGCTTATACAGGGTAAAGTTTTAGCATTACAAGGGATTAAGTAAATCTCTATGAAAATTTGTTCCTTTCATCACAACTATTGTTCATGAATTCTCTTGAAATCTTCCAGACACAATAATATCTCAAAAAAAGTCGTACATTGACTTTGTTATAATACAGTTACTTCAGAGTTGAGTGCTGGAGCATCACTTTGTCTAGTTTAACCTATAACATGAAATCCAACAGACCTTGAAAAGTCCAATTGCACGAGGTCACTATCTATATCTATGTCTACGTTTATATCAGGTTATGCGACCGACCGTCGGCAGTCTTCGAAATTCATTTCGATGGTTAATTAGATGGGGTCTAGCCTTAAATACACACGAAATGCTGATATATATTATCGATTCCATGCATTGTTAATTGTTAATTTTAGACTTATTGTAATTTGGATATACATTTTAGTATGTTATAAATCAAATATGAGAATTTGAGTCAAATCGGTGAACATTAATTTGACAGCTAATGCTCCTTTAAAAACCTATATTATATATATTGAAGTAGATGCAAGATGAGATTTTTTGTTTATCGGAAAATGAATTGTCAATCCATAAGACATGGTAAAAAGTTTTTGTAGTTCCATTTTATGGTATCATCACATTTGTCTGTTTTATGCATAAAATAACTTAATTTTACAGATGGAAACAAGCTCAGAAAATTGGTTATCAGTCTGAGCAGCAGTATTGTCAAAAAAATTTCCTGAAAAGGAATACATTACTGGAAATAGAGGTATTGATAATGAAGCAATATTAAATAAACTTTTGTCTCTGTTGTATTCATCTCTATAATTTACAGCTTGCCATACTTTCTTTGTGTTTGTTGATATTGACATATGGTGATGTTAATATTTGTTACCCTTTGTTTTTTGGTTCCTGTCTTGTTGACATATGCCAAATATCTACTTTTTTCAAAATAAAAGCAAATTCTGTACCAGAAATAAAGGATTACTATTTTGAACAATGTTTTCCTGCACTTTTTTTTTTTATTTGATACATCAGTAACAAATTAAATGTTCAAGATAAAGAGATTGTTTTGAAAAAAGTCCTTTGGTCAACCGATGGTAAAAGTAAGGTCTGGCATAGTTTTACCAGAACTTGAAATTGATGTAAATGTGCAAGAGAGGAAACAAGTTTCTTTCAGGAATTTTTTTTACTTTCAATAATTTTTCTGGCAACAGAGAACATTTAACACACATAAAAAAGGAAAACAAATATCAAATAGAAAAAGAAGAAGTGGTAAAAATGATAAATGAAACAACTTTGTAACTTAAATTTTAAGTAAAAGATTTTTAGGCAAAGATCTTGGAATTGGTCTAGCACAATTTTTTCACTAAGAATACAACAAATTTTATTTTATTTGAGGCCATTGATACATAATTGAGAAGTGAAAAAGTAGTAATTTGACTTTAAAAGATAATAGATAAAAGAATACTGATTTCTTATCAAGAAAAATAAATACAAAATATTTGTTGTGAACATGATTATTGTTTCTGTCTGCTTTCAGAATGTTAAAAACGACCTTATAAAGTTAGTAAGATCTATTGGCTTCAGTGACACCATACAGACAATCCAACAACCCAAACCAAAATATGGAGATGTGTTGGATATCAGTAAAGCTGCTGTTGCAATGGAAACAGATTTAACCAACCCCATGATTGCAATGGTAAAAGCTGTTATCACAGCTGGCTTGTATCCAAGTGTTGCCAAGGTAACATATGATGCCCCTGTTGATGCAGCTGCTAACCCTCGAAAGGTTCCCTGTTTAGGAGAGACAGCACAAGGACCAGCACATGTACATCCTTCGTCTGTAAATAGACATCTGACAGCAAATGGTTGGATTGCATACCAAGAAAAGGTACTAATATTTTAGTATTTAAAATATTTTTCCACTCAGAACTTTTTAAATCCATCTTTGAATTTGCATACTGTAACAAGTTTATGTTCACAGATACTTGTTTTTGTTGTTTAGCCCCTTCTAGATAAATTTGTGGCAATTTATTTTCAGAACTTTTTAACTTTGTTGATGTATTAATGTAAGAAAAGGTCAAAGTTTGACATATGTTTGACATTTCTAATCCACACTATTTTTCTTCTCATGAATACTAATTCGCCGTTTCAGAGTAATGAATTCTGTTTTCACTAGCCTACACCAAAGTGTTGTGATTGGCTTACAATGTCCTTAACAATGGGAATTCAACCAATGACATGACATAATTTTCATTTTAGGTAGGAACAATTAAATTACCCACAATACTTTAGATACTGAAACGACAAGTTAGTTTATAGTATTTGAAGTTCCATTCATGAGGCCCCTCATGGGGTTGTCCAAGTAATCACATAATCATTAATTATTTTTGTAAACAAGATAATCAAATAATCAAAAATACAGTCCTAGATTATTAGATAATCAAATAATCATGAAATATTTGGTCTGGTAATCAAATAATCACTATAAAAACAGCCAAGTAATCACATAATCAAAAACCCCATGAGGAGGCTCTTTCATCGACCTGTGATTTTTTAAATGCGATTCCAAATTATTCCCTGTTTTTTAAACAAAGTTTTGGGAGGATGCATAAACTTAAAACAAAAAACAGTTAGGAAGCTGTATATCTTATTTCAGGTTAGAAACCCATACTTATTTGATATTTCAGGTAACGACATCTAAAGTATATTTAAGAGAGACGACACTTGTTTCACCTTTCTCACTCCTGTTGTTTGGTGGAGATATACATGTTCAACACACAGCTCAACTTGTTACAGTGGATGACAGGATTAAGTTTAGAGTATGTTACTTCTTATTACCAACTTCTTTGTTTATCTTACAATACCCTTCTACAGAATATAGTAGCCTTCTTTTTATGGTGTATAGCCCTTTTCATAAATCCAGAATTTGGCTTTAGCTTTAGAATAAATCAATTTATTTTTCTTTCTAAGAAGTAGAACATGATACATAATAGATCTTATTAATTTTGATGTAATATTTGGTTTTTATATAGTTTGAAACTTCTTATAATCTACTGTCAAGTATGTTCATGGGTGGCTTCTGTTCACAGTTATGATAAAAATCACCTCAATTAACTTTTATCTTTCCAGCATACGTCAAATCAAGAATTTCATAAATTTCTCCAATCTGCAAAAAATTCAATAAAGTATGATATGTTAAGTGACATTTGATTGGATGACTGCTGCCGTCAATCCCACAGTTGGCGGTCGGAATAGATAACAACATTGAGCTATCACAATGAATATTTCATTTACTGTAGAAACATTAATTTTCGTGGGGTTAAAATTTTGTGGTTTTGTCTCTATATAAAATTTCATGGGGATTTAATTTCGTGGTTTCCATTAAATGGAAGTGATATTATATGTAGGTTAAATTTTCGTGGGGGTTTTAATTTCGTGGATATATACTTTCCACGAAATAAACGAAATTAAATCCTCCACGAAAATTTCTGCTTTTACAGTATCTTATTTTGTTTCACAGGACCTGTATACTGAGTTTATTACCTTACAATTTTTATTAGTATTCTTAAAGAGAAAGGTGAATTGTACAGTTGCAAGAAATCTGTGGTCTAAGTAGGCCAAATAAATCAGGGGCAGTAAATATTCAAAAGTTGATGAACAAGTTTGACCTTAGAAATTGTGAAAACAAACCATTCTTGAGTACCTGTTTCGTATAATTTTGCTGTCAAACTTTATAATTTAGCTGGAAATGTTTCTAAATGAAACTATTCATCTTTTGCTAAGAACTGGTATGTCTCTCATCAAAGCAATGCATTATTTTTAGTCTACTTCATGTTTATGAAAATGAGTTATGGGATTAGGCTATAGATTGGATTTTTTTTTCAATTTACAATAAAGAGAATACCAAATTTGTTATGGTAGATAAGCACTATTGCAGATTTAATTAACTATCTGAGAAAATTTTTTTATCATTTGAAATAAGATGATATGTATCTTTAATATTATTTTATTGAACCTTGCACAAAACATTACTTTTGAAAAAAGTAAATTTTCTTGATTAGTTTTAGCTCACTTGGTGTCCATTGGAGCCATCATCCGTTAACTTTTACAAAAATCTTCTCCTCTGAAACCACTTTGCTAAACTTAACAAAACTTGGCCACAATCATCATTGGGGTATCTAGTTTAAGAAAATATGTCCTATGACCCCACCCAACCAAGATGGCCGACATGGCTAAAAATAGAACATAGGGGTAAAATGCAAGTTTTGTCTATTACTTTGAAAACCGCTATAAATAGAGAAATTCTGACAGGAGCAAAAATATTCAGAATGTTTACCTAGGAGTTATTGCCCTTAATGACGAATTTTACCATTTTTAAAATGTTTTCCCTATTATTTCGAAAACTATAATCGATAGACAGAAACTTTAAATAGCAAAAATGATCAGCAAGACAAGATCTACTAATAAGTCAACAAGATCAATAGCGGCAGACAACTCCTTATAAGAGTTATTGCCCTTTAATGACAATTTTTAGATAGATAGAAAGAAACTTAAGAAAGGAAAAATTGTCAGCAGGATTAGATCCACAAATATGTCAATAAGTTAACTCTTAATAGAGTTGTTCCCATTTAATGATGATTTTTACTAAAAAGTGACCATAGTTGAAGATGCAGGTGTGCAACACAGGCTCTTTAGAGCATCTTGTTTTTTAAAACATCAAAGCTTTTAACTGCTTTGATAGTTAAATTTCATGTCTGTTTTATTATTATTCACTATTTGTAACAGCTGTTTATTAGAGCCTCTAGTTTTTTTAAAACATCAAAGCTTTTAACTAGTTAAATTTTATGGCTGACATTATTATTCACTATTTGTAACAGCTATTTCTTTTAAAACCTATAATTGAAATTAATACAAGAAAATATGTATGTGGTGAGAACATTTCCATTGTAAATTAATCGTATGTCTCTTCCTTATAAAATAATCAGAATGAGAATTTATGAGTTCTGGATATAGATATTGAATACTTTAGAAATATGTAAGTAGTTTGAAAGCACTTTTTATATATCACATAAATAATAAAAATACAATTGATTTTAAACTTAAATTTTATAAAGCAGAAGTTTAACAAATAACCACTTACCATCAAATTTTGATTGAAGAGCTATTTAATCATAACCAGTCAATAAATGTGATAAGTAGGACAATTTACTCTTATTTACAGACATATGCTAAAACTGGTGTGATCTTCAGAGAACTCAGAAAATTACTAGACGAGTTGTTAGACAAAAAGTTGGAGACCCCAACATTAAATTTGCTAGGTAAGTATTTGTTAAGAATTCAGTATATATGTATGTTTGTGTCTGTGGGGCTAGATTCAGATATATATTCCAGAAGGGAATATTTTGAAGATATCGGCCTGAAAAAAACGCCTGCATTCATTTATTGAGGAAAATATACTATATTTTAAAAATTAGACACCATATCAACAATAATAATATATAAAGAAAAGAAATTTGACAAACCATTACCAAAGATGATGGACTTGTTTTCTTCTCTTTGGTTAAGTGGGAATTTAACTGATTAGTACTGGAGGAAATTCTTAGTTGGAGATGTTTTATGAAAAATAATTTGGTATTTAGTAGTACATGGTTTTGTGGCTTTATCAATTTTTCAGAGATTTCTGGCGATAAAGAATTTCGAAGCTCATGTTTGATGGAAAGAATAATTTTGTATATTTTGTATAATATAGGTGATAGAGTGATTAAGTTGATATGCAGATTAATAGACTGTGAAAAATGAAGAACAAAAGCAGTTTATAAGAAGAAATGTGCAGATTAATAGATTGTGAAAAAAAGAGATCAAAAGCAGTTTATAAGAAGAAGAAATGTGCAGATTAATAACTTGTGAAAAATAGAGACCAAAGAGCAGTTAATAAGAAGAAGAAATGTGCAGATTAATAGATTGTGAAAAATAGAGACCAAAAGCAGTTAATAAATGGAAGAAGAAATTGGTTTGTTGAAAATAAACCGCCAAGACAGGACTTCATAACAGAACAGTTCCAAGAAGAGTGTCATCAGGAAGTATAGCCATCTGTAAATGTGGATGTATTATATCAAGGTTAAAAATAGTTTAGTTAGCATTAAAGATGTATATAAACTGATGAAAAAAAATGTAAACAGCCATGATATGTGATAGATGAGAGTTTTTCTTTATATAAACCATAATGTACTGATGTTTTGATAGATAATTTGTGTATAAAATAGCTATGTGCCTTTTCTTTTCAATTTCATTTTTGTAAAAAAAAAAATCATGTTGCACAAAAAATTATTAATCCTTTCACCAATAGCCGCCCTGACAGAAGTTACTCTGAGACGATGGCTTCCGTGGCTATTGTAACACAAGTGGGAGAACTTCATTTTAAATATAAAAAAATCTTATCTGTAGTTATTTATGTCTTTATTTTATTCACTTACACCATGGACACCGTTTTGTTTATCAAATCTGCTAATTTTCGGCACTGAAGCACATAAAACTCATGAAATTCGTCTTTTCAACCCACAATCCTAAATTTAAATTTTAACCTTCAAGTTTACAATTTAACGATGTTGTAAAAGTTCCTTTCATTCCAAGTGTTTCTGTACACAAATGGCATTTTATGTCAAAACAGTATACTTGTCTGATTTCAATTCTTCCAGCTTCTTTAAAAAAAAAGTTCACTTAATTTCAAATTCCAGTAAAATCAGTAAATTTAGGTTGATTTTGACACGGTTTTATACAAATGGAAGCACCATGATTACACTTTCATCCGGGTAACTATAAAAAGAAAGATAACTTGAGTTAGTAATGTTTTTAAGCAGGAAATATAGAATAGGTATGCCGATCCCAGTAAACCAGGACTAATTGTCAGCTTCTGAAGGGTGAATCGTGGTAAACCGGGGTTTTTTTCGGCGAAAGTGTTAATATTGTCATAATTTTAATGTCCCATCATTTACTCTAGAGTAAATAACTTTTACATTAGAAGGCATTGATGGCATGGTTTGTATACTGTTGTATAATCTACATGATAATCATTAATAGTGCTAAAAATTGGGGGGCAATGGTCTATTGTTTACTTAAGGCACAGATGTAAATTGCTATCTTTAAAGCATAAATGGTAGAATAACTTACAGTTGCTCGTCTCTAATTAAAAAAAAACCATATAAATTTGAAAAGAATTTGCCTCCATTTTTTTCAAAGTTGCACAAAAAGTCTTTAGATGAATTGATGTTTAAGGTCGATAAATGGAAAAGAGGTATTCAGCTTTCATGTATTAAAATGTTTCTAATAAAAGTTATATCTGGCCCTTGTTCAATATGTTTTGATGTACAGAGTGCTCAGTGTTTCTTTATTATCTGCACTTTTCTCCTTGATAAGTCACAAATCTGATGTTTATATACTTTCACTTGGTGAATATTCCCAAAATGGTTTTTGTATTCATTGAATGACTGGAAAAACTGTGTTTTACCACAATCCTGTACATTAAGGTCAATAACTGTAAAAGAGGTAATTAGCGTTCATATAATAATAGGTTTCTTATAACAGTTATAACTGGCTCTTGTTCAATATGTTTCAATGTACAGTGTGCCAAGTAGGCCATTTTAAGCTTTATTTATGCGCAACTTTTTTCAAAAAACTTGAGTAAGTAATTGAGTTTGTAGCAATAATTGATAAATATCCGGAACTTGCTATTTGTTTACTTCTGGTGTTTGAGTTGCAGTCAATTTAGCTTCACCACAATGGACAAACCATCTACTTTTTCCACTCTAGCTTCAAAAATACATTCATCGTTTAAAACTGTATCATAGCAGTGTATACGATCTACTTCTTGAAATTGACGAAATCTGCTGTCAATTGAATTATTCTTTCCTTATTTAGAATGTTCTTCATTATTGTCCGCTATATATGCAGTCAGACATGCCACAGTTACACTGTGGTCACATAGAATGTGGATGTCAGCCTAAGTTAAGTTCTAGGACCTATCATAGTTGCCAACCTCTGACAATGACAAATAATGTCATGACATGGCACAACATGTCAAAAAACGTGTGACGTTCTTTTAATATGTACATTATACAAACTTGTTAATTATTAAAAACAATATTTTACTGTAAACTATTATTGTATTCAACAGTGGCCTGTTTTGCTGCTTTCAAAACAACACAACTAGGCACATATTCAAAACAACTGCCAGTTTGGTTAAATTTACATGATAACAATGTACACAATGTATCGTCGTTGAGTTCTGATCTGAATTTAGTGTAAATCTTCTTTATAATTGAAAATGCTCTCTCACAGTCAGAATTGCTATTTGGCAGAAATAAAATAGCTTTTTGCAGATGATCCAATATAAATATAAGAGTTATGTAGGGTGCACAATGCATTGTTCTCTCGATCACTTTCTTTGATCCATTTAAACTTGGACTCCCAACTCTTTTGGTACGTCACATATATTGTTTTCGCTTAGTACTTGGCTCTTTAGACAACGGTACAGGTCCAGAAAGCAACCTCTTTCTGCTGGACATTTCCCCAAAGTTAATTTGAAAGAAAGAAAGTCAAAAAACCTTAAAATATACTCACAAACTAACTTGAAGGGCTTTTCTTGTTTGTCCATATCGAAAAATAAACAATGGCGACCCAAGCAATACTTCGAAATTTTCGGTATTTAACATCTATTTATGAAAAAACCCAAGAATTGCGATATCACTAACGACCAAAAAAAATCAAAACAACGAAAAAGCATGTAATGGCGTGGAAAGTGGAGAAAAACGTGTACACTCCATGTGACAAAATCTTTGAGGGTAAACCGTTAAAAAGCGTGTATTACACATGAATATCATGTGAGTTGGCAACTATGGGACCTATATCAGTGAACGTAGCTGATAAATGTTCATCAAATGAAAATCCCAATAATGATATACTAAAAATTTTACGTGTTAACCTCTCTTCTGCTAACGCAGTGATCTCTATCTGCTCATGTACTTCTGATAACTCCTATTGTTTATAAAAGTTATAATTGCTTGACCAAACCATTAAAATGAATATCTATTGCCATATCTAATAAAATAAAAGAAGTAATCTTGCAAACATATTCATAATCATACGTTGCACTATGTATTTACTTTGTTTACAGCAAGTTTTTTTTGGGCAGGAAAGTACGTAAATCGAATATCTATTTCCATATTTAATGAATAACAGAAGTAATCTTGCAAACATATTCATGATCATACATTCTGCAGTGTATTTACTTTGTTTACAGCGAGTTTTGGCCGGAAAATACTTAAGCTAAATATCTATTTCCATATTTAACGAATAAAAGAAGTAATCTTGCAAACATATTGATGATAACTTGTGATAGTGTGTTTCCAATCTTATAACTTTTGTGTAATCAATCCTCATTCAGTTCTAAACCAAGATCCTGAAATTTCACAGGTAGATTGGAATAATTTTAGGAATTTTTCAGTATTATTTCAGACTTGGATACTTAAGCCATTTTTCAGCCACATTTTCAAAAGTCAGTAATTCCAAATGTTGTGTAATCAACTACAGTTTTCAAACCAGACAGATGGGTCAGTATGCGTAACTAATTTTCCATAGGTGGTAATGGTAACATTTTCTTCTGTAGCTCAGTCCATATCGTAAACTTGGATATGTATGATGGCTCGTTTCGAAGCTGAGACATTTTCACAGATGTGGTTAAATTTTCGGGGTACGAAATGTGATTCATTTTTCTGTAAATTAGCACACCCTGAAAATCCTTTCGTGATGCGGCTCCTTGTTGTAAAAAATCCCCTTTTTCACACAATAAGTTCTTTGAAAATTTAATACTTTGTATACATTTAATAACTCCATAGTTTTTACACATTTATTCTATGGTCCTCTACTTTCCAAATCAACACAAATGGTTAAGCTCAGTCACTTGTTAAAAATAGAAACATGTCCAATATTGCTACACAGAGATTTTTTGTTTATGCACAACTTTTGTGTTCCTCAATTTGAGGCGCATGAGAGGTATTGACCCAGATCCTTGAAACTTTACATAAGTATAAAAGTTTACAAGTCTGCACACCGATTGAAGTTTTTCACCTCCCGTATTGAGTTTATAAAGATTTCCCCCAAATTTTGCATTTTATATTTCTATATATTTAAATGTTCATTATAGACCATTCTCCATTATTTAAGAAACATTCTATAGAAACCTGGCCATTGGAGCCTTTGATCCATTATACTCTTAAAATATTTTCATTGTTTTTTTGTATCAAATTTGTTTGATTTTTTGTTTGTATATGCAATTCACAATTTATGATTCAGACACTATTCTCTTATATTAAACACATGTGACTTTATATTATCTTATTTGTAATTGTATGTTGGACCTTAAAATGGAAAGGCACATAGCTACCTTGTTGACAGATATTTTATAGAAAATATAAATATGGCACACCTTGTTAGAGGCAATAGTCTTGTGTTGCTATAAATTAGATGATGAAAATAAACAAAAAATTATGTCAGTCACCAAGACAGTGGTTAAAATTTTTAGTTTTGACAGACAGTAAATATTATTTTTTTAGTAAATATTTTCATGGTATATATTTTTACCAATTTTGACTAAATGAGATCACATTGTAGAAACCATAGACTAATTTATAGATATAAAGCTGGCAATGGTAATACTTGTATTTTATGATTTTTACCACTATATATTAAATGCTGTGATAAGTGGCACATAAAATTCTTGATAAAGGAGCCATTTTTTTTAACTGCTTTCTGATTTTCCATAAAATTGTTATAACATAGCAGTTAATATGTTTAAACAGATGCTTGTGAAGTGTTTGTCATATAAAGTACCATGGTAAACCATCACTGTCAAATATCTATATATGGTGTATTTTATTTTTCTGTATTGTATATTTTAATGGTTGGAAAGCAATAACAAACAAGATATCTCTGATATTATATAACAAGGGGTGATCAATAACTGGACAGATGTTCTTCATGTTCTCTTCAATTTTTTTTGTAGTACCCATCAGTTAAATGCTTTTTTCATTACAAAAATACAAAAATAGATAAGAAAATATATTACATGTTAAACCAACCAAATACTAATGTGCTGAATTGTTCTAGTTTTCTTAAGATTATGTGTACATAACTTGGCAAATACATCTATGGTCACTTCAACACCAAACTATTTCTTGTAAAAGTAATAATGAATTCCTCAATTTCTATTATCACAATTCTATTCTGTATCACATAAATATTTCTTCTGTTATAAAAATTTCACATAAAATTTATAAATATTCTTCCTCTTTCTAAACTTGAATTTATATAAATTTTAGGCAACGTCTGATATACAATAGGAAAGAAACAAAAATAAAGATCATAAGTATGTTTCAATTCTGTATATAAATGTTATACAATATAAACTAAGTGCATCAATGTATAATTTCTCACTTATTCTCACTAAAATTCTCTTAACTTTGTAATAATGTTTAATAGAATAGCATAGTGACCATCTCAAGAGTTATTACCAAATAGAAATATCTCCTCTGCCAGCTACTTATTGCATTTTAAGGTTATTATTTTATGCCAGTAATATTTTCCCTGTAAATTGTTTGATAATTTCCGTTTTCACATATTCAGTCCAAAATCCCAATATCCTATTATAAAAGGATAATCGGTATTCAGAGCTTCTTTAAATTATTATTCAGTGGAACATTCTTAAATTAGACTCCATAACCAGGGCATGATCTTGTGACAATCCCAAAACAAAGTTTGAATTATTTTAGACTCAGTGTTTTTACTTTTCCATGGCTTCCTTGGTTACACTACTAATAGGATGAGACCTATCTTTTCCATAAGACTACTTTAAAAATAGCATCTCCTTTAATTTAAAAAAAAATAATAATATAGGTCCATCCCCTTCTCAACACATCTCCTCCATGGCTTTCTGGACTGCACTGTTGATTGGATGGGACCTATCTTTTCCAAAAGTTCATCATATTTTGTTTTGTAATAAACCATTTATGTATAATAATAATAATAATAATAATAATAATAATAATAAATTCTTTATTTAAAGAGGGTAAACACAGTTAGTTACAATAAATAATCTTCCCTGAGGCCCTCATATACAATACAAGTAAAAAAATAATAATAAGAGAAAAAAAGCAAACATACAACATATTAACACATAGTCATTTAACAATCGTATAGTCATGATAGTTCAATTTAACAATCGTATAGTCATGATAGTTCAGTGTACATGTACCATTAGAACATATAAAACATTTTGATTCAAGATCATTAATGATCTGAATTAAGTCCTCCTTACTTTTCCCACCATATCCAGAATTATCATTTGATTTGGAAAGTTCAGTTATTGAGTCTAATGAGAGGTCAAGGTTCTGAGCTTGATCATTATTATTTTCGGACATTTGTGAGTTCTCTTGGGAAAATTCAAAAAATTTTCTATAAATTCAACTGGTGTGGATTATCTTGGTTGAGATGAAATGATTTCTTTTTCAAGGGATTCATAGGTTGCCACAAAAGTGTCAATCCAAGTATAAACATTGTGACCTTGAACATTAATTGTACCAGTACTTACATATAATGTCAGTGTTACTGAGTTACTGACAGTTTTGTATATATTTCCATACTGAAAATGACTTCTTATAAAGTTCAGATCATTATCCAAGATTCTCTGTACATCTTGTAACATATGTTGTGCGACATGAATAGTTACACTATGCTTCTTCGGAGATATTTGAAAAAGTCTGGCACATTTTCAGCTGATAAATCGAGTGAAATACTTTCATTTTCTGAATTTTGTTCTCTTGATTCACTATTTCCATTAAAAAGTGTAGTTGCATTGAAAGAATTAAACAGTGATTTCACAGCAGTAAAACTGTTTAGTAAAGACATAATCCATTTATCAGGAGCACTCAGAATAACATCCTCTCTCTTCAGGTAGTTCAGAGTCTTATTGTACAACCGCCTTATTCCAGGTAACTCTTTGTATAGCAAGTATCGCCTAGTTGGCCCTTGAAACTAGAGAACTTTTCTTTGTAAGTACTTCAAATTGAGAAAGGCATCCATAGAACAGTATTTTTCTTATTTTGTACATGTGTTCTAACAAGGAATACAGAAGGTAAATATGAGACTGAAAAATTAGAATTTGAAAAGAATGTCCAATAGAATTCACTACTTCTAATGGTTTTTATCATTTAGAAAGAAATGTATTGCATTATTTACCTGGAATTATGCAGTCTGACGTGTTAAAGTCTATGATCTCTGTTGTTGTATCAAAATCAGTGCATGTTCCATAATCTCACAGCGTTGTTTGGTAAGAAATGTATTGAAATTGCTCACCAGGAATAAGGCAGTTTGACAAGTTAAATTCTTTGATATCTGTACTCTTATTGAATTCAGTTAATGTTCCGTAATATGACGGTGTTGTTTGGTAAAAGATGTATTTAATTGCCCAACTGGAATTATGCAGTCTTGTCATCATGTTAATTTTTTTTTATCTCTGTGGTTGTATTAAAATCCTTGCATGTTCCGTAATCTGGCGTTGTTGTTATTGATAAGAAATGTATTGAATTGCTCACATGGAATAAAGTAGTCTAGTAAGTTAAATTCTGTTATGCACTTTGATATTTGTGGTTGTAACATAATCTAACAACGTTGCTTTGTAGGAAATGAAAAGAATTGTTTTCTTAAATAAGGCAGTCTGACGAGTTGAACTCTTTGATCTCTTGTTGTATTAAAACCTGTTGTTCCATAATCTGACTGCGTTGTTTGAAGTCCATTTTATCCAATCAATCATGAAGCAGCATATGAATGGGTTATCCTCAATGTCCCTGAAAAAAGAAATTTATAATTTAAAATTTAAATCTAAATCTTGTACATTTCCCCGATAATCTGACATTGTTGCTTGGTAAGAAATGTATTGAATTGCTTTTTCTGGAACAAGACAGTCTGACGTGTTTGATAGCTTTACTTTAATTGAAATCAGTGCATGTTTCATAATCTGACATTGTTGCTTGGTAATAAATTTATTGAATTTCTAACCTGGAATAAGGCAGTCTGATGTGTTAAACTCTTTGATATCTGTGGTTTTATCACAATCTGTTCCATAATCTGAAACTTCGTTTGATAGGAAATCCATTTTATTCAATCTATCATTGCACAGCATATTAATGGGTTATCCTCAATGTCCCTTTCATTAACTGGAATTATGCAGTCTGTCATGTTAAACTCTTTGATATCTGTGGTTATGTTAAATTCAGTGCATGTTCCATATTCTGACATTGTTGCTTGGTAGGAAATGTATTGAATTGTTTAGGGCTATTCCAGAAAAAAATGTATGGGGGTGTTGGACGGCAGTTGATCTTTTTTTGCATGGGTGATGGGGGGAGGAGGAATTAAAATTGTGTGGGTAGTTGTTCTCTTACACAACTTAATTAGATGGGTGGTTGTACCTAAAGAGAAGAAAATATCTTTTTCAGTTGATAGAACCTTCAAATATCGATGGAAAACGTGTTTTATTCGGCGATTTTGTTTACTTTTTGCGCATATTAAATCCTTTGGTTAATGCCCGAGCGTTTCGAATGGAACTGTATATGCATATCGGTGCTCCTAAAAGGGAGAGAGTTACGAAGTGTCAGAGTAGTAACTGGTTCCCGGATTTCTTTTTTTAACTGTTTTCCCTAATGTGACATGTTCAGTTACCAGATTGTTTACCGCATGGAAACAGCATGGCTGGACAGTGGGATGTTATCGCTGTTTGTTCCTGGCTCCAATCCAATGGATTGGGGAAATTTGCGGACTTTTTTACAGGTAATATTTGTTCATTAAAGGAGATGGTGTTGTGAAAATTTATCCACAACTCGAAGACTGGCTCCAGAAAAGCAATGTTTACCATGTTATTAACGAAATAAATGCAAAAAACAAAAAGTCAGTATGTTTTACTGACAATCGAAATTAAACAGATAAATGAGTGTATATTCGAAAGGAAGTTACAGAGTCCCAATACAAACAATAAAATGATTTTAATAAGGGTTATTAAAAAACATTTTTCATACGAGAAAAGGCTGTTTTGTTGGCATCTTGATTCTTGATTGATTTTTATTTTATCATTATATATATATAATAAAAACACAGAAATGACAAAAATAAACATAATATAACCACAAGAGTATTTTTTTATCAGTATTGTGTGAAATATGCTCCAGAACTTGATTAGTACAGTGAAATGTTTTGTCAGAAGGTAATATAATTATTTGTTTGCCTTTGGCATAGTTTGATTGTTATTATTCTGAGTATACATGAGGGTCGTAATGGGGGTACCTTCATGACCAATAACGGTAAAAATTCTTAACAAATGACGTTAACAGTAATTTTTGGTACATGACGATGAAATGTACACTTTCTTTTAGACGATAAAAAAATCAACTGATTTTGACGAATCACGTTAAATTTTTTCCAAAAATAACGGTAACGATAATTATTTGAGACCTCTGACGAATCACGATAAGGATATTTTGACAAATCACGGTAAAATTTTAACCAATATGATGCGAACGGTAGCCAAAAATGACCGTTTGACGCCTGACGGTAAATGGCATTCCTACCCTCATACATGGGTAAATTAATTATAACCAAAAAATTACTTTTATGTACACATGTAGTAAAATAAATAAGTCACAGTAGTTTTTCAAACTTGCAAGCAGATTCTATTGAACTTTGTAGGAAATCAATGTCGGATATAAATTGCCAGTATTATTTGTAAGTAGTAGAACTTATGAACCTACACATGCTTTTGGTGGATGGATATTTTATCATACTTAATAACTTATAGCTAGCTTGCTGTGTAAAAGCACTATATAATCAATAATTTTAATGCACATTTACTTGTTTTCATGCTGTTTATTCATTTCACTTTTTCTGTTATTTTCAACATATATTTATAAACAAATTGCCTAATGTGATAAAGATATTTGATGCAGTTTACATGTACATGAAATTATCACAAATTAATTCTACCACAAAATTTTTAGATGTTGATGGAATTTGTATACGGTAATCATTTTTAACTTTCATACCCTGCTATATATCCATATATCTATCACATATATTATTCTTGTGCTTCTATAATCATTCTACAGGCATGGATTTAGAGGTTGGCATATGTCTTGCCCTTTCCCCACTAAAAATGAGAGGATTTTTTTTAACACAGTAAACATTTAAGCATTGTTACCCTAGACAATGAATGAAAAAAATGCACCTACTAAAACCAAAGTCCTGGATCTGTGTCTGCTTTGTATTTCTCAAAGTTTCCTTTGATTATTATTCTTTTAAAGGTGATTATTGATAACAAATTATGAAAGGTATTTCACACCAAAACCAGCACTTTAATATAAAAAAAGTACTTCAATAGATAATTAACATACCGGGTAGATACTATTTACTAATATTCAATCTTAACTCTTTGTCAGGTAAGTGATTCAGTTCTAGTAGAGGTTAGCCTAGAACTGAATAAATGCTTTTAAGACTAACCTCAGACTTTTCGAGATAGAATGAATAGTTACAAACAAAATGTATATATAGTGGTCACATAATACCTAAGAAATGGAATCGGATATAAAACTTTTGTCAGAAACTACAGAGACAATTTGAATAAAACTAGAGGAGTGGTCCATGATTGTCATTTACTACAATTGTAACTCTCAATTTTTTAAATGACTGCTTTATACTCTGATTGGCTGTCCGACACTTTTTGTATGTCGTGGTCACTTTTGCCATCTGTAGACATTTGGTTTATATTAGCCTAAATTATTGTATATCATTGTCCGTCCATCCGTCATCACCACTTAGGACAAAAACCCAAAACAACTTTCACCTATTTTCATGTTTCAATAAATCATCATATCCTATCCCAGCACCCCAACTCCATAGATCACTACGTGTTTGGAACATCTACTTGGACCAATCAGAATAAACTTTTTTTATTTAGGAGTATTTTGAGGGGCATAAGGAAGGGAGGGGTTTACTAAAGAACCCTATGGGATTTTATTTTTTTAAATTTTCAAATAAATATAAACGTGAAAACCGTAGGTAATAGATGTACTTGGTCTTCAGTAATGATCACTGGACAATAAAACAAAAATAAAATAAAGGGTAAGTCCCTGGGGGTCACCACCACCCCCTTCAATTTGAGAATGTGCTTTTATCTTGCAAACGGTCCAGATTCCCACCCCTAAACCATATATATTCTTGTATGGGACAATAAAACAAATCAAATGAAATATAGAGGGAGTTCCCAGTGTCGCCCCCACCCCTGTCCTGTTTGAGAATGTGTAAACGGTTTAGATCCCCACCCCTAAACCATATATATTCTTGTACGGGACATTAAAACAAATCAAATGAAATATAGAGTGAGTCTTCGGGGTCACCCCCACCCCCATCCTGTTTGAGAACGTGTAAACGGTTTAGATCCCCACCCCTAAACCATATATATTCTTGTATGGGACAATAAAACAAATCAAATGAAATATAGGGGTAGTCTCTTGTGATCACCCCCACCCCCTTCTGTTTGAGAACTTGAAAATGATCGAGATCCACACCCCTAAACCATATATATTCTCGTATGGGACAATAACACAAATCAAATGAAATATATGGGGAGTCCCCAGGGGTCATCCCCACCCCTCCTGTTTGAGAAAACAAAACATGTTAGAAAACACAATCATTTCAAATTTTCATTGTCATCAAATCCTTTATAAGCAAGTGAGATGTGACAGCTAAAATGGAAAAAATTATAGGGGTAGTACCAAGGGTTTTATAATTACAGGGCTTTGTTTGGGAGACTTTGTAACAGCATCCTGTTACTATTATGTATTTTTTTAAATGAAATTTCATAGAAATGTGCCTTGTATGGTAAATATTCAACTTTGTCATTTGCTATTCATGTTAAGTTGGATTGAATGATAGTTAGGAGGGGGTTTAATGTATAATCACAGTAAGTATTTGTTTTACAAGACCATTTTTTTTATAATTTCAGAAGAAGAAATAGATGGTAATGCTTTATTGGGCCTAAACGAAGATGAGGTGTTACAGATTTTCCCAAAAATGGGACCAAGGGCAAAATTTAGGACCCTCCTTCATCAGTTAAAGGTATGAACATAACGCCAGATCCTTTTATATTTAACATGTTTTATTATTATCAAAGGACATCTATGTTTTTATGCCCCACCTACGATAGTAGAGGGCCATTATGTTTTCTGGTCTGTGCATCCGTTCGTTTGTCTGTTTGTTCGTCCGTCTGTCCCGTGTCAGGCAAAAGTTTTTGGTCAAGATAGTTTTTGATGAAGTTGAAATCCAATCAACTTGAAACTCAGTACACATGTTCCCTATGATATGATCTTTCTAATTTTAATGCCAAATTAGAGTTTTGACCCCCTATTTCACGGTCCACTGAACATAGAAAATGATAGTGTGAGTGGGGCATCCATGTACTTTGGACACATTCTTGTTTACATATGTGAATGTTTGGCATGATTTTGGTTTCCTTTTCTTATTTCAAATCATGTCGTGCTTTTCTTTGACAGATCAATATTTATGAAATGCATTTATCATCAGAACATATGTTGATAGATATATGCAACATACTTCACTGAAGCTGTACTGTGACATATAATTGCTTATATTTATTACATTTGGTCTTGTTTTCTGCCATTAACCACCAAAACTGTCATCTGTAGATCCATCCTAATATCCCTTTTTTACTTGTTTTTTATGTTGAACATGTTCTTGTCTGATTTTATCCCCATCAGTGATCATACGATGTTGAAGAACCATCAATCAATCAATTTAAAAGATAAACAATTTTTATTATGTTACAGGAAGGTGACATGAAGGAAAAAAAGCCTGAGAAGCCTGAAGAAGTCACCAAAGCATCTGTAACACTTGAGGCTGTAACTTTTGAAATACAACCAGAAAATATGGAACATGTAGAAATAAATGATCTTGAGACCAAGCAACAAGATGTTAAGGTTGAACCACAGATTGTCAACAGAAAACAGGCTATCCCAAAAGCACAGATAACAGCAAAGTTAGCACCTGGTACTCAGATGACACTTAATCATTTTCTGAAGGGAAAAATGGATCCTAAATGTGACAGGTGTGTAACTATACCCATTGCAAATGAAGTTATAGGGGTATACAGTTTTGACCTAATGGTAACAACTTTTTGTCATTACTTTTCCTCTGTCCTCTGTTGTAATAGAAAATAAAGGGATATGGAGTAAATGTACATGGGACAAAATTGCACAAAATACATAGAGAAAATACAAATTATCAATCAACAGGGCTTTTATTCCTGTTCTTCATCTTGACAGTCGATGTAGAGTCTTCAACAATGAACGAATCATTCATAGCCTACAACAAGGTCAAGACGGCCCCTAGCATCTTTCTACATCCATTTAATTGTTTATTTAATAGGTGAGCTTTGCAGGTTTAGATGAATATTAGGTTTTACTGTCAACAAATATGGGCACCACGCTTTAAAAAAAAACATTTAAATAGAGAAAACGAAAAGTGGCAATTTATTCAGATGTTCTGTAGCTCAAAAAACAAAAAGGAATAACCCTGTCTGTCTCTCCGTCTGTCTTACTAAGTTTAATATTGCAATATGTGGCAACAGGTGTCCTAAGTGGAAAAAGGGGGGTATCTGTTACTCTGCACACATTCTGTCTTTATTTCAATTTAGTATGATGCTTGTATTTATATACAAATGAAATAATGTTTTTTTTTTTTTTCAGATATGGTGAATTGAGGCGTATTGGTTTTAAAGTTTTCGAACAAGAGTTCCTAGATTTGCAAACACCTATGAAGCGTGCATGGTATGAGTTTTGGAACAAAAAGGCTTTGGACTTAGCACATGAAAATACCAAAAGATCTTATATGGAAGGTTTGATAAAAAAAGCCTGGTCATATGAAGGTGGCAGACAGATTGCACTATGCAAATTTGGGAAGGAAATCTGTAAAGCTCAAAAATTAGAAAATGATCCATTCAGTTGCTATGAGCAAGCAGCAGAACAGAAACAAAATGAAATACAGAAATTGGAGACAGAAAAGACAGAAAAAGAGCAGGAACTTTGTAGTCGAATATACAAAGGAACCATTTCTATGAATGATAAAGTTTCATTACGAAAGCATATAAAATTGATAACAGTTGATGCTGAGAAAGCTGAGAAAGATTATTCAAAAATACTAACAAACTGGACAGCTCATGCTTATAAAGTTGAGAGACGGGGTGTAGAGAAAAAGAAACCTGGTAGGAAAAGGAAAGCAGAAATACAGGAGATAAAATATCTGACTGCAAAGGAGTTAAGGTCTAAGAAAAGTAAAGTTGATAACCAGTCAGCAGGCAACCAAGATAAAAGTATGGAGTCAAATGATATGTTTGTAGAAGACCCAGCTGAGATCACAAGTGACAACCATGATGAAGGTATGGAGTCAAATGATGTTATGTTTGTAGACGACCCAGCTGAGATAACAAAGGACAACCATGATGAAGGTATGGAGTCAAATGATGTAATGTTTGTAGAAGACCCAGCTGAGATAACAAAGGACAACCATGATGAAGGTATGGAGTCAAATGATGTAATGTTTGTAGAAGACCCAGCTGAGATCACAAGGGATAACAACAATGAAGGTATGGAGAAAAAGAATCAGGAAAAACAGAAGAAAAATCCAATGACAAAGAAAAACATGACCCTATTTATACCACAGACATATGATACGTACCTTGGAATAAAGTTGTTATTTCCAGGAATCAGTCAGAACACAGTTGGGCTTCCCCATGGTCTATCACGAGGTTCAAACGCTTGCACTGGTTTCTGCCTAAAATTGGCTGAACATTTTTTTAACGAAAAATTTTCTCTTCACATTAAACCCGCACTTTCCGAGTATAGAAGTAGCCTGCATGAAATAGTATCAAGGTATGAGGACAGAAACATTCAGATGATGGACACAAAATCAGCTATGACATATTTTGGATATCAGAATTCGATGAAAATTATATCAGACACATATTGGCACCGACAACTTGGTGTAGGTGCTGATGACCCATTAGAAATATGCAGTGCAGAATACAACAGATCGATAAACTCACAAGAAAGAGAAGCCCTTTTTATCACTGTGTCAGACAAAACATTCATCATTTTAAATAATGAGGAAGGAGATCAAGTCCTTTTTGACTCCCATGTGCATTACACTGATGATAACATGACTCTAGAAGATACTTTAAACAGAAAAGATCTACATGGTCTGATTGCTGCAAGTGACAAAACCTCAAACATGCTTATGTATGTATTTGCTCATGTTGTAAATGAACTAAGATGTTCCACTGATACCGGATGTATGTATCGCTGTCAAAAAAACTAAAAGATGCTCCTTGTTTACCTATGCGGGAAAATTCAATAAATGTCTCATGTAAAGAAAATACAACAAATTTAAATATTTATAAAAGAAGATTAAAGAATGATAATTTTCAGCGTGATGGCCGGAGATCAGCAGCAATAAAAAATGGTATTTGGTATGATTTGAACTATTGTAAAAACAATTGGAATGATGCTATCTTATCATTGGTAAAACTGGCAAATGATGAAAAGAAAAACATTTTACGACGAATACAGTATTTTGGAATTTTGAAAGTATCAGAAAAATTAGAAAATGGTCAGTTAATGCCATTAAAAGAACTTTATGAACTCTATTCTACTGAATGTAATAATGAATTATTGTTTTGCTCTTTAAAAACTAAATTGTTTAGTTACCATTCTGCATCATATAGAGATCTTTTCATGAGATATTTACCTGTCATACAAATTTACAAAGCTGTAGATAATCAGACTCGAGCCTTTATTCTAAAGAAACCTATTGACAAAGACTTTGCAAATTTAATAGCAACAATTGAATGGCCCAACAGAAATGAACTTTTGAAAAAGAACATTAGTACAAAACTTGAAAATATCATGACACCAGCATTAAATAGCTGCTCTGAAAAGGACAGACATATTCTTAAGTATATAATATCCACACTAACTTCGGTGGAGTTTCTGAACAAAACTGGAATAGATGGAAAAAGATATCAAAGAAGCAGCTTAAATACCAGTATGACATATGCAAAAGAAACAATACAGAAATGGACTGTAAACAAAGACTCATTGAGTGCAAATATGCTGCACAAGAAGAGAACAGAAACAGGACAACGAATACAGGTGCTTGGATCTGGAAGGAAACTTCTTGCTGAAAAGTATCCTGATTTAACAACATTAATGTTAAGACTGTTCGATGCTGGAGGAGATGGATTACAAAGTCATCCAAGATTAATATGCGACACTTTATTTTTACATAAAAGTAAATGGATGAACATGCCTCGATGTGTAACAATTTTAAAACAGATCTATGATATTGATATATCAATTAGTGCAGCTTATACTTATACAGAAAACTATCGTGAAAAAAGTCACCAAGCAAAACGTCATCATCATGGCAAAAATGTAAATCCTGGTATATCATTAAAGAAACCAACAAGAGATGGGAACCACAATCCATCAATTAATGATCATTTTGCACAGACAGACATAAACTATTCAATAGAAGAGACTCTGATCAACAATGGAAAAGTCATCGCAAGAGACGATAAGGCTTTAGTACATTGCGATGTAGAAATTGTACAAAGACCAAGTAAATCTTGGAAAAAAGTCATCTTTTCAGACCATGATTGGGAAAAGGACACAAAAAGAAGTTTGCAAATTACAACTTATCAATTTGTTAAAGTGAAGGATATGTCAGAAAATGAGGATATCGTTGCGCAATTCAGTGGAATTCCCATTTGTCAAAGTAGATTAACCGGTGGAGGATTGTCAATAGTAAAAATCCATTACTTTGAAAATTCTACTGTGTTTAGACACTTTAACGAATTATTGTTTGTCATGACTTTGGAAAATCAGCATGTGTTTTTCCAGACAGGAGATAATGGTCTTATACCCCAATTATTAATAACAGTTGATGGAGGTCCAGATGAGAGACCCAGGAACAAACAGACTATGTTTGCGACTGTCCTCCTAAGAAAACTTTTGAACATAGATAAAGTAAAAGTAATTTCATATGCTGAAGGATGCAGCAAACGACATTCAGTGGAAAGACTACATTTTGCTGAAGGCAGATCTTTATCGCAAAGTGGCGTAATTTCTTCTAAAAGTATAAATGAAAATGAGACAGAAGAAGGCTTGTTTAGCCAGGAAAAGTTCAAAGAAAATATGGAAGCTGCCAGAGAAGAGGCAGTTAACAGAATAGATGAAACACCATATGCGAGTGAAAAAATAGAGGCAGTAAAACCTCCTCCAGATTTTGATTGGATTTTGACACCAGAGACCATATCAAAAATAATTTCATTCTTGAAGAAAGACACTAGTGAACATCGCTTTGAAAACAACTTTAGCATAAAGCCAGAAGGACCAGTATGGAATAAACTGTGCAAACTGTATGGTATTAGTCCAACAAAATGCTTCAATGCAGTTTCAGTTTTCAATGAAATGTACGACCCCAAATCTGCATGGCTCCAGCATTATGCCTACAGTTGTTATAGACCAGATGATTCCTGGATAGGAAATAGTATAAACAGATATGAAATTCAACCAATTGTGGACATAAGCAAGTTACCAGAGCATAAGTATTTGCCTTATCTGGAAGCAAAAAAGCTTGTGCAATATTTTTTAGATAATAAGGTAGAACTTCCAGACTTCCTTAGGGTTCCAGATTTTTATTTACCATCAAAAAACATTGAATCATTAAGGAAAAACAATGAGTCTGTATTTTCAAATGAAAGAGATTTCACCAATGTTCAGAATTTGCTTGGTGTCAGCTCAGATGAAATACGGGCATACATCAGAAAAAAAGAAGAAAAAAAGGAGGATTCAGTGAAAAAGACTGAAATTAAGAAAGCATTCTCGAATCGTTTGTTAGGAAAGCTGACAGTTATAGAACTAAAAAAAGTACTTGAGGAGTTCAAGGTTTCATGGACAAGACAACAGAACAATCGAGCTGATATTCTCAAATTGGTAGATAAGGAGCTAGAAAACAGAAATCTAAAAGAAGACGACTTATTTGAATAAATTTGTTTAACACATCATGCAACATTATTTAACTTCTGACAGCAGAAGATGAGGTTTCATGGGTTTATTTACATGGGTTTACAGTACACATGTTAACCAGATAAAAAAGGAAATTGTTTTATTGCTGTTCTTCATCTTGATAGCTTTCACAATTGTTTAAACCAAACTTTAATTGTCAACATATTACTTCCTACAAAGAAAATTTGAATGTATATAGTAATCATCCAGTGCTTCGGTCCGTTTGTGAATGTAAGCTTTTAAGTACAACTCCTTAACCATATATGATCAATGAAACTTTGCATTTGTCTAATACCACCTGAAGATGTGCATCTGGTAAACTAATCCTGGTCCAATGCATCAGAGGGGAGATAAATTAACTTATACTGTGCAAGCACAAATCCTCCATATGAGACTTGTAACTGAATTTATACATATGTTGAACAATATGACAGGTACCACATGTGGGGCAGGATCTTACCCTTCCAGAGCACCTGAGATTACATTGTTTTTTGGGGGTACGTGTTGCTCTGTTTCAGTTTTCTAGTTGTGTTATGTGGATTTCTGTTTATGTCTTTTCACATTTTTTTTTCTTTTTTTGCCATGGCTTGGCCTGTTTGTTTTCCACATTTGAGTTTGATTGACCCTTTAGGTATCTATTGCCTCTCTTTATGATGGATTAAATTCTGTTATAGTGTTCCATCTGCAGATGTGCATGTACATATAGCTAAAAATATTTCCGCACTCACAGTTGCTTCAAAGGATTATTTTTATATTTAAAAACACAAGTAGAATTATTTATAAAAGTTGAATTGAATATTTCTCAAGGATTTGAGCTGCAAGTCCACACCACTTAAACCATTTGAAATTAATAAAAATAAACCGCAGCTTTTGAAGAAATCACATCAGACAATAGCAATACAAAAAAGCATCCAGAGGTCACCCAAACACTGTTTCAAATAATAATTGCAATATGATAGTTTTACGTTTTTTTTTCATGACACTGACAGTGACTAGTACAAAACACATTTGATGCACACATCTGCAATAAAAGTTATTTTTAATGCCAAGAGTATCAGGACAAAATTTAAGGTGTTAAGCTTCAAAACCTAGTCACCAATAATCTATATCAAATATCTGATATTGTCAAATGTGCAAAAACACTTAAGAATTCTAAAACTAATTTACATACTGTCATTAATAGCGACTTTCAGATTATCAAAATGCATATGATTTTTGTTGCTTATTTTTGAAAAAAGCTAGCTTATACTTTTTTAAAATTATATGGGTAGTGGGGTCAAACTGAAAATTAATTGTATGGGTAGTTGTCCCATGATGAAATGTAATTTAGTGGGTGATGGGTATTAAAAAAAAGTGCCTTCCAACCCCCCCATACATTTTTTTCTGGAATAGCCCTTACCAGGAATAAGGAAGTCTGACATGTTAAATTTTTGTTTGTTTGCGGTTGTATTAAAATCTGTTCCATAACCTAACAGTGTTGTTTGGTTGGAGGTCCATTTTATCTAATCTGTCATGGCACAGCATATTAATGTTTTTTTTTTTTATCCTCAATGTTCCTTAAATGTAAAATTTAATTAAAAGTTAATGCCTTTGTCTTGTACATTTCCGTTCTTTTTTTTTCTATACAGACAGACATTTACTTATTTAATTTTTTATTTATTTAGAATTACATACTGAGATAAAAAATTGAAATGAACATATAAAAAAAACTAGTACCATGAACATTAATGTTCACTTCAATATTTCCACTTACCTGGCTCCTTAATTATTTGTAGTTTTCTCTCAACACCATATTGACACTATTGAAATTAGATCAGACCGCCACATCCACAAGGGGACTTGTGCCCGGAGTCCATTTTATCCAACCTGTCATGGCACAGCATATCAATGGGTTATCCTCAATTTCCTGTAAATGTAAAATCTAAATAAAACCTATGTTTTGTACATTTCCCTCACAGGTTTTTTTTTTCCTCTAGAGAGACATTTAATTTTTTTATAATTTATTTAAAACTACATACTGAGAAAACAGTTTGAAATATACATATGAAAAAAACCAGTACCTTGAACATTGTTATTTTTTATTTATTTTTTTTGTAACGATCACCCCTTCACCCCTTATAATAATTAAGCAATGTTTATTTTTGTAGATTCCAAGTAGTACAGTAGACTCCACCTAATCGGATATCGGCTAAACGAATATATCGGCTATTGTAATATTATTTCAAAACACCAAACCCTTCCCTATATGTTTAATGTTAATTTTATCGTGTAATCGAATATCGGATATAAGAATATATCGGCAAATCGGATAAGAATATTCAGAAAATTTGGTTCAAAACCATGAACAATCGGATATTTGCCATGATTTTCTAACAGGAAATGGACCCGGAAGTTACGAAATTACAATCTTGCAGACAAGAAAATTTAGTTTTTTTACAAAAAAAAAAAGGAACTACACAAACAAATGTATTTCTTAATAAATTGTTGTCTCTATTCATTGTCTTCCTTTGTTATGTGAATAAGATGCCCTTTTACTTCAAATGGTTTGAATTTATTTATAAAATATACAAGAGCAGTACGTTGCTGTTTGGAGAATTTTTATAAAACTCTAAATGCTTACAGAATCAGAAATATAATTTAAAACTGAATGTACCTCCTTCTGAATAATTTATTGCAATATAAATATAAATCCTTTTTGACAAAAGAATCTGAGTTTTGTCAGATATAATTTTGTTACATGTGCATAAGTAACCACATGTCATGGACGCCATTTTGGTTTGTTTACAAATTGTTTATAGCCAAATTAGTTTACCTGTGATAATGTAAATAATGGATATTAATTTGTTTACAAAACAAATAAAGACACAAACTATGGATGGTAGATATTTATTCACATAAATATTTCAGGACATTTGATTTATTTTTTAATAAATATAGGATTTAAAAACTGCAAATTTGAGCATTACATAACAGCTGATGATTTTTTACACAAACATCGTGGTGAAGTAACTGATAAAAATCACTCCAGCCCTTTCACATATATAGCAATGGTCAGGGTTAGTAACATCTCGGGATTAGGTCTACTCATTATTGCAGAATATTCAATGAATATACATTTATCGTCTAATTGAATATATCGGGTAATGGAATATTTTTAGCTGACATTTTGGGTATCCGATTTGCCGGAGTCTACTGTATATGCTTTTTTTTTATTGAACAATATTTAATTTTGATGTAAAATCTTGTCACTTAATATAGATGTATTCTGCTTTATTGGTCATCTGTGTTATATAGAGGGAAAACTTTTGGTATTGTGATTTGAATACTGTATGAGATTGTACAAAAGAAAATTCAATACTTATGAATTGATTATTTAAACATTTTTTTATGCTTCTTGGGTGTGAAGTTTTTAAAATGCCTGTGAGACTTTGCATGATTATTATTTTAAATGATGTATGATCTGTAAGAGCTTACTACACTTTATTTTTGTATCTTTAATGTTAATCAATGTATAGTTTTTTTAATCATAAGAATATGTAACTAGGGGTAATCATTAGATATGTCAAAGCAGATTTCAGTGTGATGTTTTCAACCTTAAAATGTTAGACTGTTTGTAAAGTCATGAAAACATCTTTAAGGCCCATTTTTCTCCTGTATTTTACAGGACCAATTAATCAACCATAATTTTTCATCTTGCAAAAAAAAAAAACCAAACAAATAAATAAAAGCCATGAATGTCTTCTTGGTAACAATTAAGATTGGTTGCAAGTTGAACTAGAATTTCCATAATGAACACTAATTTTGATTCAAAATAAACGGAGATGATAATCTGTAAGATAGTATTTAATGCTGCCTGTTCAGCAGCCATAGTTAAAATTTCTCTATACACTACCACAAGTTGAAAACAGATGCAGACCAGTTGATATAATTA